TTAATACTAAACTTTGTCTTTTCTCTGTTACACCCTTTCAAACACATTATTGTAAATGACTCTTCAGAATTACTGCTGCTGTTATTTGTGGAGGCACTGAAGGTGATGACTGCAGCTGTGCACCTTAATCCTGTTCATACCTATGCAGTTTAAGTAGTCCTCATAGATCTGCACCCAGGCTTTGCAGTTTGCAGTAGAATTCAGGACATGGAACCCAATGTGTTTTTCCATGTCCTGCCATAATATGAAAAATTGACAGCAAGAGGAAAATCTTCATTATTCATATCAGCATTTTTTTTCTTGAACTGTTATATTTTACTCATGTTTAGTTTCTGTTATTTGACTCTTACTCACTTACCCTTTCAGTGACATTCTGCATCTTCTGAGCAAAATGGAATGTAATCCAGTGCATGCCACAGAATTATCTATTTGTTTAAAATACTACTTACATTCTGGATGGTTAGCAGACAATATCACATTACATAATTGCAACAGTACAATGCATTAAATCTGACTTGAAGATGCTTAAGTGTGCAGTCTAGTTAAAAAAAAGAGTTTTTATGCAGTGTTTCGGCACTTAACTGTAGATAACTTAAAGTCAGCTCTTAACTAGAGTGTAGTAGTTTCTGTGAAAAGGTAACTCCTGCACTATAGCAATGGCTTGGTAGTGATACTACATCAGAATTCCATGCACCAGATTTGTCTTTCATACAATTCCATTGTAGCCATTGAAGTTCACTAGGAATAAATTTTCCCCCTTGAGCATAATGTCTCATAACTCTCACAACAAGGAAAAACACTGATAGAAATCTTTAACACTAGTGTTAACTGTTTGTTCTAGGTAGCACTTCAAGAAAGTGTTATTTCTCTTCAGCATACCTGTCCTCTGCATATGTCTCAGCGTATTCCTGCATGCTGAGGAAGATGCCCGCCTAATCTTGATTAAAAAAAGATGCATGTGGCTTTCTAAATCTTTACATATCTTTCCTTTGTTGGTATGTATGCTTGTAAACTACTGGTACTGAATTCTAGTATTGTATCTTTCTTTTGTAAATAGTGATTAAACCATGATTTATATTCAGATATTTAAAGCTTCCACATTTCTGAAGTTTGTAAGAGGAAAATCTTCTGAACTCTAAAACCTGTCATTTTTACTCTGGATATATTAGATGAATAGTGTGAATAATAGTTTTGTTTACCTTCTATTTACAAACTAAGTAGATTCTCTAATTTTTCTTTAAGAAGGATGAGCACAAGCTCAAAATTCTGTCAAAATTTTGGGGTTACAATGTCATGCTTAGTGGCTTTGGCTATGAATAGAAGCAACTTGCATGTTTACATTTTAATTCTATGCTGCATGATTTCTTGATGCTTTTTTGGTGCTATTTTACATCTCATTAGTTTGTTACTGACTCTCTTCAGTTCCTTTTTTCTTTTTGCCAGATGCATGATACACTGACCTGTGTTTTATAGGCAGTGGTGTTTTTACATCAGATACCAGAAAATGCTTTAACACAGTAATAATGAAGTCTAATGTATTTTTTTATTTCAGAGACCAGACAAAATATTCTAGTAGTTTGTGGTTGTTTTTCTTTGGGGGGAGCTAGGGTTTGTTTGTTTGTTTGGGGTTTTTCATGTGTGTGTGAATCAGATGACTTACATTCTGTTGCTTCTTTCTAATGATATGTATATTTTAAACATTATTTTATATCAAGACCTTTAACCATAGGTATAATTCATAGTAAGTTGGTAAAACTTGATTTTTCCTGCATGTTTTTTCACACGGAAAATACATATGAGCATTGGTCTATTCATACAATCTTTCAAATCAGACTGGAGATACTTAATAAAGGCATATGCCTTAGAACCACTCTCTCAATAAAATCCATCATCTGATAGTATGTGAAAGAGTGAGAACTTCAGAAAAAACTTGTTTTTCATGATAACACAAACCTTTTTAATTTTTAAAAGTACCTGAATTGATATGAGCAATGTAATTTCATTTCAGGGAATTTCATTATTTGCAAATCTCTCTCAAAATCATTTATCTAACAGAATGTGAACAGTCTTGCTGTCTAGCTGTATATATTTAAATTCAAAGTTTAAGATTAATATTAACACTGTCTTTTGTAACAAAACCCCAAGAGTCTTTATGTGTGAATTCATCATGTGTGTGATCTCTGACCATAGTGTCTTATTTCTTAAATGCTTTTTTTATTCATAGCACAGATCAAGATTCCACCCAATGCAACACTGATCTTTGAGATTGAACTTTATGCAGTAAATAAGGGACCTCGCAGTGTTGAAGCATTCAATCAAATCGACAAGGACGGTGACAAGAAACTCTCTGAACTTGAGGTAGTATGGTGTAACTAATTTGGAATAAATAATGTATAAAACTATAGGTATAGTTGCATAGCATTATCTTTACATGAGGTGCCTCTGCTACAGTTGATCATGTAAAGCTTCTGTGTGCTTACATAAACTACACCATGCAATTCTGAAATTTGTTTTGATTAATACCTTAGTACGTCTTGGACTTGCTGGGAAACAAACTTAAGATGTGTCTGCACTGGAGTCACAATAACTTATATATATACCCTAGGTGTCCTTGAAGATAGCTTTTGAGTGCTGTCATAAAAACCATAATGGTTGGACTTTTTTCTTTTCTTCTAGATAAGCCAGTATTTGAAAGAAGAATTTGCGAGAGATGGCAAAAAACGTCATCCCTCAGTCCATGATGAAATCTTAGCTGATATATTTAAGAAGAATGACCATGATGGAGATGGTTTCATATCAGCAAAGGAGTACAATGTCTACCAGCATGATGAACTCTGAGTACTTAGAAAAATCTGTGGCCATTTTCCGGACACTAAATTTTAAATAATAATACTTTGTCACAGAAATTTTTGTATTTTTTTTATGGTGGCATCTTTTTATACCTCTTAAAATGACTGTAAAAATCTTATTTTTACCATTCAACTAATACAATGTTAGATATCTCAAAAGAAAGAAATAAAATTGGAAAACACTATGATCTGTTATTTGTGGTTCCTGCTTTATGTCCTAATCTACAGTATTACTCAGTAGTTTGTCTCATTGTGTATAATACTGATGAAAATATTTCTGTCCTATCAAGCACACAACAATGGTTCCAGTACCTGTTGACATCAGGTTATGTTATAACTAGTTCTCTATCCCCTATAAAATAAAAGGGGAAAACAAAATCCAAGGGAAATATCTGTTAAACTTCTGCAGGCTCCTAGGCCAGCTTCTTGGGGAATTGCTGTTTGCAGCAAATTTAACTGTGAAAGGCCTTAAGGGAAATGAAGACTGAACACTACTGAATGTCAACATAGAAACACAACTGTTCTTAAAGAAATTTAAAATAACCTCTTTGCTGTAATATTAACAAGAATAATGGGGTTCATGAACAGCTTGTATTTTAAGTGGGTTTTTAACTTTGGCTTTGTAAAATTATGAAGTTAGGTAGTTTATTCAGCAGTACCAGCTTAAAAATCTACACCATCATGATTTACTTGGATGAGGTGTGCCATGGTTCAACCCCAGCAGGCATCTAAGTACCACGTAGCCACTCATTCACTTCCCCCACTTCCAGGGGGATGGGGAGGAGAACTGGGAGGGAAAAGATAAAAGCCCAGGGGTTGAGATAAGAACAGTTTAATAATTGAAATAAAAATACACAATAATAATAGGAAATGGAGAGGGAATAAACCCCAAGTACCCTCCAAAAAAGCAAGTGCTGCACAATGCAGTTGCTCACCGTCTGCTGACGCATACCCAGCCTGACCCAAGCAGCAATCTGTCCCTCCCAGGAAACCCCCCTCAGTTTATGCTCAAGTATATAATGTCCTATGGTATGGAATATCCCTTTGATTAGTTCAGGTCAGGTACCCTCGTCAGGTATCCTCCCAGCTTTTTGTGCCCCTCCTTACTGGCAGAGCATGGGAAACTGAAAAGCCCTTGACTTAGTATAAGCGCTACTCAGCAACAGCTAAAACATTGATGTGTTATCAAAATTATTCTCAGACTAAAGCCAAAATGCAGCACTGCACTGCTACTAGACAGTGCCCAACATATTATGTATAGGCCAGTGTGACTGCTTCATAGTTCAGAAATAATAATAAATGTGAATTATGAAGTGGTGACAAAGAAAAAGATATTTTTGACAGCTAGAGCTCTGTTTTGAGATTTAAAGTCATATGTATATTCCTTTTTTAAAAAATATTTGTGTGTATGTGGTTTATTCCACAAGCCTGAAGATGATGGGAGATACTATATAGAAACATAAGTAATTATTTGGGCATCATTCTGGTTACCTTCACTTAGGAAAAATGTAAATAAGTAGCAATAGTTAATAGACAGTACTTCAGGCTCATTCACTGTTCTCCTTATGCAGATGTCATCTTAATACTTGTCTAACATACTTCACTCTTCTCACATGAAAAGCAGTAGCTGCATTCCTTTCAACATGTAATAATCAGACACACACAGTGAAGTTTCCAAACAAAAGTTTCCATACGTGGGTTATTCTTAAAGTCATGCTAAAAGGTAGAAACGCTTTTCTGAAATTGTTTTCCCAGTTTAAAATAGCACAGGGAGAGCTTTTAACCAACGGCACTCCCGGCCTCAACATTGGACACAATTCTGTAGTGCCCTCTGGTGTTTACATTCTCAACAGACAATTTTCTGTGGTTCAGATCTACCGGTTAAGACCTTAACCCTGAAGCTTTGTTGGGAGGATGTAGTTCTGTTATTTTTGTAAGCTTCCAAAATACATTGATGAGCAATTTTTTCTGAACACGTAATAAAGTCAAGAGCAGCTGTGATCCAAAATCCAATGAAATTCAGACAGTGGACTACGTGGTATTTTTTCGTAATCTAAACAAACTGTTGACATATGGTAATGCCATCCTAATGTGAAACCCCTATCCCTAGTTTTAGTTGTTCCCTTTTGCAAATGAAACATTAGACTGAGCTAAGTTTTAGCATGTTTTTAATCTGATACTTCAGTTAAACATTCATGAGGACACTAAATTATTAACAAATACTTTCATCATATGCCAGGGTAGATAAAGGCAAGATTTTGGAGTGTAACAACAAGTTTGTGTAAACAACTTAAAGTTCTAGCATATATTTTGACATTATGAAAATACAATTTAAAAGTGCATTTTTCATTATCATGGTAATGAAAAGAGAAGGTTCTAGAAAGAAAAGCAATGTCAGGGAATGCATTATTTTCAAATAAAAGATCATGGACTGGAAAGCAAAAATTTCAAGATAATAGTGTAATAAAATGTTTTGCACTTTCACTATTTTGCATTTCAACAATCTGAGTCATATTTACTAATTCTGAAAAGTGTGTGGCACAGTTATGCCCATGTCTGTAACAAAAGGCACTTACCTAGTTCGGCTACTTTACTCTCTTATGCCAGAGGTCAAAACAGGGCACAGCATGCAGTCGTACATACTTTTGTCCATTAAAAGAACACTCAAGGCACCCATAGACTGTCTCCCTTTTAGAACTTCCCATTCCACAAAGGACACAGGGACCTTTTGGGATGTTGTTATTAAGTAAATTAATTCGGATGTGAGACCCTTCTCTGAGATAGCTTGTAGAGAGATCAGTCATGCTTGCAGCTTTTTCATAATAATCTGTAAAAAGGTCCTCCAAGTAAGCTTCAGAATTAGCAATGGTAGCCACTACTCTTTTATCTGAAAAAGAACACACATACACACACAAAAAGCAGTGATTTGTTGTGACATTATGAACCATTTACAAAACAACCTGTCAATCTAGTTATGAAAATAACAGCTGATTCATGAAACTATTCTAAACACACCATGTTGTAGATTACTTCCCATCAGAAGCCCTGGGTGATGATTTTTTTGTAATTTTTACTTCACAAAAGACACTGAGAAAAGCCATACATTTTTGTGTGCCCTACATATTTTTAGAAACACACCTAAAAGGTAGGCACGAGGCGAGCTTTTGAAGAATTTGGTGCCAAATCAAATCACAGCTGCGTACTTCCCTGTTTAACCATTTTTATTTTTGCATTTCTAGTTTTATTTTCTAAAACCTGCAAATTCCTTTCTCTTCCCCTAGCACTTATATAAAAAAAAAAAAAAAAAACAAAACAACAAAACACACACACACAAAAAAACCCTACCAATACTTAACAGGTTTAGAAAATTTGAAGGACTCCAAGTTGACCTCCTAGCAGATTTCTGAGCATCCAAACACCCCAGGAAGAAATTATGTTTGGAACTGCTTACCTTTTCCCTCTTTCTTCAGGGACTCATTAGTTTCTACTGAATGACAAACTTTTAGACTGCTACAGCTACTGAGATGTATCACACTCACTGAAGATTTATCCCCTTAGCATGAACTGGAGCAGCACTGGAGGCTTGGTCCATAAAAGCCCTTTGATCAAAACCAGGATACAATGGAGCAAGGACAGACCAGCCTTTAGAAGAATGTGTTTACTACTCAACATTCATCTTCACACTCAGATTTGCAGCTTTTCAAAATACTTAGGCTACAAAGTGTTAAAAGTATATGATCTTGTTCTGAAGAAAATATATGTATACACAGTTTTGTTGGATGTTGTGCTCATATCAGAATGAGAAATAGCAACTATGATGGTATCTTGCCTATGTCCTTGCCATGTGAACATACAGCCTAAAGAGTATGTTCAAAAATTTAAATTAATATTGTTTGATTTTTAAACTTTTAAAGATTTTTGAAGTTTGCCCTTAAATATTATTTATAGATTATAACTTGTATTGCATAACATTAGCTGTAAATGGCAAGCATATGAAATAGGCTTAATGTTAACTGTAGTTAATTGTATAATTACTCCACACCAGTTTACCATCAGCCATAAATTTTTAGGATCTTTAGAGTTTTAATGAAGAGCAACACCACAAATTTGTTATTTGTGAGTCAGATTCTCAAAAACAAATTTTAATAACTTTGCAATTATTTCAATACCCGAGAAATTGAGGTACATTTTCCATCAAAGTTTTCTTCTTTAAGCATTCATCTTGCACACAAATTACAGAAACAAAAATGCACTCTTCATGCATTAGCTAAGACATTTGGATATAAATATCAAAAGTCATACTTCTATGAAACAGATTACTCTTTAACCTCCTTAATTTGGTCAGTGAAGATGATCCAGATTTCTCTTTTTCAAATCCTCCTTTTGAAATTGGAGTCACACAGAGCTCTGTAAAAATTAAAATTGTTTTTTTAAAAACAAAATGCAAAAGCAGTAATTGCACAGTAGTTTAATACGCTTTCTAATGTAAAAAGCTAACAGTGATTAAATTCAGCTTTGCTACTGTTTTTAATGGCTAGTACCACTTTTTAATACAAGTCTACACACAGTAATACCCCATAAAATCAAGTGACACAGATTCAGTGGGAATGATAAAATATTGGTGGCTTTCAGCACACATCCTCAGAGTTTGGTTGGTTTATGCACAATTTAAGGCCGTGTTAAGAGACTAAGTCAGCATCTTGTAACTGGAAGCCCTGCTTCTGAAGGAGAAACATTTCTATGATCTCATTTGAAACTATAATGAAAAATAAGAAGCAATGCTGTGAGCTCTTTAGTGATCTCTTCTAACACTGAACCAACTATTAAAACTTTATTTTTTTAATAAAAACAAGTATCACCTACATTTCTATCCATAACTTGAAAGAAAACATTTAAAGTAAAATATAACAATAATCAATTACAAGTAACTGAAAAAAAAAACATGTTTTAAACATTATCAATTGAGAATTCTCTTCAATTTGCAAATAGAAATATCAACTTAATTGACTATTTCAGTAATAATGATTTTAGGGAAAAAAAAAACACTGTGCATGTACCTACTATTGCATAAAGGTAAAATAAAATTAAAACACTTCCAAACCTTAAATTAATGTTAAGCATCCTACTTAAATGAATATAAAGAACCACCATACAAAATTATCTCCTTTACTTTTAATCTAGTAATTATGCCTGGTTTGGAATACATTTAAATTTTTCACAGAAGGGAAGGTATTTCACAGTTCAGTAAAAGGGTGCTTTGCAATGCAGAGTACCTGTTTTATCCTGTGTATGCCAAATGGTACAGAGCTATTTTCAACTTTTAGAACATAGTGCTATATAGATCTGCAGAGACAGAGATTAATACCCTAATCAGGTCTCTTATCTTGCTATTTACAGAAAGCCATAATGTTATAGCTAAGCGATTCCTGAAACAATTCCCACTGAGTGAATCTACAGAGGTTTCTGTATTTAAACACATGTGAAAGCGGTGGTTAAAACTTCATTTAACATCACTCTGCTCAGTGGGGAGTTTTGCATTTGATATTATTAAGCACTAGATGAAATCCTAAATTGACTTTCTTGTTTATTCCTAACAACTTTGGTAATATCAATAATGGTATAAATTACACTTTAATAAGTGCAAATTATGTAAATACATAAGCACTATCCTTTCCCCAAAAGGAGAAAAACTTACAGGAGCTATGCAATATTTTTATTAGTTTCCAGTAACTGTGATTTATAAAAATCTTCAGATATCCATATGCAGGATATCCATATGCAGTAATGATTTATCAGACTGAAATTAAAGCCCTAACAGAAAAAACTGTTAGCTTAATTTTCAAGTTCTCCACATTTTCTTCTTTAATTGGGTCTTTTTTCTTTACTATTTTATGCAAAACTGATCAGATGGCCTCATAAGCCTGTTCCTTACAGACTAGAAACATAAGGAAGAAATTTTTTGTTCAATGCAGCTGCAAGATTCACAAAGAAATAACAAAATCATACTTAACTTTTAAAAAATGCTTCCATGCACCTGCCTTGGTTATCTTTTCAATAATTGTTTCCTATAAAGAAAGACTACTTATGTGCATAAAATTAAAACATACCATTGTAAGGGATCAGGGCTTATGTATATCAACTATTTTAAAACCTCAGATCATTATAAATAATAGCAATAATGACAGTAACTCACATCACTTACCAAAATTACCATCCAAATGAATGTAAAGTTCAAATACACTAAAAGCAATAGTTGTATGTGCAGGAAAAACAATGGCTTTGTCCCGCCCTTTACAATTCTGATCTTCAATAAAGTGAAACTATAATTTAGAAAAGCATCAAAAGAAATTAAGTTACAAACTGAAGTGAAAAAAAAAAAAAAACAACACAAAATAGTATCTTAACTGTATATATTAAGAATTATAATGCCAGGAGTAACCTTTGAAATTGAACATCAAATTCCACAACTAAAGAATTTTCTATCAACAACTTTGCATTTTAATAAAGTTAGATACAGAGGTAGAAGCTTAACTTGCATCACTTATTAAAAATTATATGAATTATTTAGAAATACTAATAATGGGCAAACCTCAGAAGATATGTAGGTTCAATTACTGAAACACAGTGAAGAGAGGTAGAGGGAGGAAGGACATAAAACAGGGAGTAAGATGCCAATCCTTGAAGTAATAACAACCTGAAGTTCTAATGTGTTATAAAAGACAAAATATAAAAATGAAAGATAGGTTATACAGTTGTTGGAGATTCAAACTAAGCTAAAAAAACCTAAGTTTTTGCTGAGGCTTCACCCAAAGCAATGGCTCATTGTCTAGCCATCCTTTCATGCATTTCCCATCCCTGAGTCACATAAGCAATACTAAACAAAATACCAACTTTTAATCAGTTTACATCAGTGCAATAATATTGATTTAGTTCAGTTTTTTTCTGAGCATATATTGGTAAAAACACAGCCATATAATTTATATAAATGAGCTTTTTATGTCTGATCATTTAAGTTACAGAATTTTGTCAAACATATTTACCCTCATTGTCTCTCCACGCATTCCAGTATGGACAGTTAATGAGCATTGCCTTGTAGTTCTAATACTTTCCATGACCACGCACAGAATTTCCATCCTACTTTTCCTTGATTGATGGACTAGACAATGATCAAAGTTTATTTTTCTAAAATCAAGAGGGAGGCAGGAAGGAAATTCAGAGATTATTAGTAATAAAATAGAATTAGTAACTATAAAACAGTAAATAAATCAACATAACTTCTGTCTCATAACAGTAAAACAACTGACTGAGGTCATCTCTGGAAACTTAATACTGGTTTTCAGTAAAAAATCCAAGGAAAGGCAGTAACTTAAAAATGTTAGAGAGGATATGTGGGACATCCTGGAAAATTCTAGGTCTGTCCATGTGACACTGCTGTTAGTGACAGGAAGGAAGTGTCAATTGACTCTAATTAATAACATTTTTTTTTAAAGTGATATAATTAATGTCAGAAAGAATTTACAGAAAATAGATAGTAAAATCAATAGCTGTAATGCTTTACTTTTGGGCTTCTATAAGGCTTACTTTTTGATTAGAAGCCTAAATAATGCCTGTAGAAGCTGGCATCAATGGATTAAAAACTGGGTTAAACAATACATGTCAACTATAGCTGAAAACACTCTATCACTCATAAACATGGAACAATCTTGAAACAAGTGTTCGCAGGAGAATTCCTGCAGGCATGAGCTCTTAGTCCTATAGCACTGAATATTTTTATCAGAAGACCAGGACTCTTCTGCTATCCTCAATTATTAATCATAACATTTGGAGGTTACAAATAAACACGGTAAAGGTAGGTACAGAACAAGAGAGTTAATGAATACAAAATTACATGCAACGCTTGGTAAATAACTACAGGAAAATTTGAAAATACCAAATGTCACATCATGCATAGTAAATTATTTACTGGGATGCAACACCGGGATTCACTGGGGTAACATTATGCCCAAGGAATAATCTTTGAAATACAAACTAGAGAACTACACCTAGAATTAGTCACACCTTATTTCTATGTGTTTGACATTTGCACTAGCGCTACAGTAACACCAAGTTCATTTTCAGTGTCCTTAGCTCAACAAGGATATTTGAAAAACGGAGACTGCATTTAGAGAACAGCAACAAAAGCTTATTTAAAATTCAAGTAGATAAATCTACTTTGCTTTTCAAAGAAAAGGCTGTGTAATAGCCTCACAAAACCTTAAGCACCTCCATTGGCAATAACGCATATAGCTCTCTAGTTCATCAGACAAAGGCAAAGAAATCTTATTTCTGAAACCTTAACTTGGGTAATGTTATTCAAAGTAAATTTCAAATTTTCAATAGTATAGAATATAGATAGGACCTTGGATGGACTCTTCCTCTCTGGATTTATATTTTTTCCTGGAAGATGCACTGTAATACAGACAAGAATTAATTCAGAAAAATTTTGCAATCTGCATCGTACAGGCTGTGTGTCTAATCCCAGTGATCCAACCAGAGGCTCTTCAAAAAATATTAGATGGTGACTGCTACGGACTGACTAGAAATAATCAAAACCTAACCATTTTAGAGGTTCAACCTTATTGTATGAAATACAATTACAGAACCAGAAAACAAAATACATAATATAACCTTGTAGTAAGTTCTTTAAGTAACGTTGGTACTTCAACCTCATGTTTGCTCACAATGCCAAATGAAGCTTTAAAGGCAACAGAATCTGATCCAGCAACATCAAAACCAACATCATTCATTATCTGATTTCCTCTTCTACCATTAAGTGAAACATCTGATTTGTCTTCATAGTTGAGCAATTGGTAAGACGAGACACCTGGGTAAAAGAAGAATACCACTGTGTGATGAGAAGTCTGAAAATGGTATTTTTTACACAAGAGAATAAAAGGTACTGTTCCTACGTTGCTTAACCATTTTGATGTGAAATTCAGTGCTCCTCATTGGTATTACTACTGATGACATTTACCTGATTGAGACAAGGGTGTGCCAGTAATATTAACTTTGACTTTTACCTCACATGTCCCAATGAGAATGACTTACTGCATGCTCCAAGTATGCTTGATGATTTCAGGGCCTATGCCAGTTTATTTTGAAAGCAACAGATTAATTCTGACTTACTTGAAAGTTTGCATCAGTTTAGTGTGCAATCAAAGGGTAGGTGCAAAAGCATTTCTATAATGCTTTTTTAATAACCTTGAAACCACTGAATATTAGAATGCATTGGTTGCCAAATTAAAACTCATAGAGCAGGTAGAACAGAGGGATTAGGCATTCAAATTCATTTGAGAGTCTGGTGTTTACTCTTCTTTTTTTTTAGTCCTTTGAAACTCAGGATAAACTGGCATTATGAAGTCACCTACTATAAATTCTGTTTGTCTTTAATTTTAACAAAAAAAAAGTTTCATGTATTTTTCATAATTCTAAAAATATTGCAACTGCTTGTATTTGTCGCATAAAAAAGAAATTCAATTGCAAAGTTCTTTTCTTATATTAAAGGACAATACATTCTGCACATGATATCTAACCTTTACAGAAAAGACTAGTAAGGTTTTGTGAGACTTTGTAATGAGATTTTACAACCTTTTTTGCAGACTTTTTAATAAGATTTTTCTCTCTCCAACTTTTTTCATTATGCTTGCATCCTGGAATCCCCCCTTTGTGAGGTCAACCAGTATTTCTGTCTTCTTCTGCTCATACTGGTTTGCCTTAGTAGTGTTTTTAGTTAATGCAACCAACACTTTTGTCAAAATGGACTTTTTTCAAAATAAATAAAGTAAGTAATACAAAGTAATGCCACTGTTTTCAGAAAACGTAGCATACAGACAAAAATTACTTTTCAAAGGAATGTACAGGAAAGTATCAGCAGTATAGTTCAACTTTGCACCTCCTAATTCTTCTAGAATCACCTCAAAGATTTCTGATATTGCATTGAAAAGGTAATTTACACACAGTTAAGCTTTTACAATACACAAAAAAGATTACAAATGTGGAAAAACATCTTATGGAAATCCAATTACTTCAGTCAGATGGCTGTTGTTAAATGCTTCTGTTGCTGCAGAGCCCAGCCCATCAGCAGAAACTACTAGCATGGAACAGCTGAAGAACTGAGGCCATTCTTACATGGTTAAAAGTGAGTATACAAAGAAACATTAACATTTAAAACGATCAACATACATCAACACATCAGGAATTTGTTGCCATTTGTGAACAAACACAAGGCTTAACTGAATTTGATTCATAATAGTTCAGAAAATATCAAGGCTTTTTAGTATAATTGCTTCATTTATTTATTACAAGACTAAGCAAGATAAGTTTATTACCCGTTTATTAAACACCCATCATACTACCTGCACAGTTTAAACTATGTCTGCTGTTCTGTATTTACTAGAAAACATTCATTTTTCCACTTTGAAGAAAGATAGAAACCTTACCTGCAGAAATTTCTTTCTCCCCTTGCAGGATGTCTTTTAATGTGAAAGGTGTTGAAGCAAATTTAGATTTCTTTGAAAGCAAACATGTTCTTTTCTTAATCACAAGGCTCAGAGGTTGATATCTATCAGCCTCACTGAGACTGGGCACTGGAACTAGTCTTCCTCCATCACCAACCTGTTTAACGAAGTTTTTGGTTGCAGCAGCAAACATATTATGACATTAATAATGATAATAATAAAAAGCTCTGTATCAAGTGTAACTTCCAGAGGTCAGGCCCATGTTCAGTTCTTTTTGCAATGTTCTTTCAAACAAATTAACCTGTTTTTTAAAAGAAAGCTGTCAAACTGTTTTTTTTAGATGGAGCTCTATTTTGCTTGGAAAGAATCAACAGCATCTTAGCTACCAAGTTTCTGTGGTGTTTTGCTCGAGACTTCTCTCAAAGACCTTCAGCTAAGCTCTCTAATTCTGTATGATGAATAATGCATTACCAGTGTAAACTGATAGGGAAATAGTTGCCTTTTTATTGGCAGGTTAATGTCACTGTTAGAAAACAAAATTTACATTGTTAGAAACAGCAGACAGTAACTTGTGCAACCCTCAGCTCCTTGTTAGGAGTTATTAATGTATAACTGTTTCTTGGGTCCTTCCTTCATCTGAATTGTAGTGTTTTACCAATAACTAACAAAGCAGCCCAGATGCAGTCCAGGAGACTGCCTGAATTATACATTCATGAAAGCTGGTAGGTCTGCTGAGATGGTATTGCCTTTCAGCGGTGGTTGCATGACCTACCTGTGAAAGCTCAGCTGGGAGTAAGTGGTGCGGTGGGCCAAAAACATATGATTAGAGATGACTGGGGTTAGGAGGACAACAGAAGTGGACTTTCATGATATTTTATTCTTCACCTATGGACTCAGCTGACTGTGAGATAATTTTGAGACAGGACAGCTGCATGCATTTGGCTCAGACTACTGAGAAATTCACTGAATTTTTAAAATTATGCTAAAATAATAAAAGCCAATTGCAGACAGAAGGGAGATTCTTGATATAGGATTAAGGAGCAGCTCAAGGATCCATGAGGGAAAGCACCAGTGTAAAAGGATATAAAATTGTGAAGCAAAAAATTAGTCACCAGACAGCATGGTGGAGGATCAGTGAGGGAACCGGAGCAGCTGAGCCATCCTCATGTAAACGATGACTTGATTTTCTTGCAAGAATGGTAAGTATACAACTACTAAATCTTATTGCACATCTTCTAGACTCCTTTTGCAGTTACAGTAGGTAAAACATCAGCCACAGGCTTGTAAATCTACACTTTAATATTAACATTATTCCTAGCTGCCAGGTAAAAACTTGTTTGGTTGGCTTTTTTTCCTAAAGTAGGGTTTTCATGTGAAAGGATTTTAATTAGTGTTTTTATAATATGATCACTTATTTAATACTTTCACATGTTTCATTTTAGCTTTTTCCAATATTTCCATAAATATTTTTAAATGTTCAGAGTATCAGGAAGTCAAATAAAAAGGCAAAAAAAGGAGCATTTTACCTCAGCTAAGATGCTTTCCAGCCCTAACTATTCTATGATCTAAGAGGAAAAGAAAGCCCATCAGAGCTTTCTGCTTACTCTAGGGGGTGCTGAAAACTCAAAGCTGGTCATACATAGATTTTGAACTGAAATGATGTGAAATGATGCAATTCAGTCTGACTGTAATTCATATTTCACTGCAGTAAAAAAAAAAAAAGAACTGTATAAATTTACTCAATCAAAACACATTAACAGAACTTAAAAGGTTTTAAAGGGAAGGAAAAGCTAAGGAAATTCTTAAATTAAAATTGCCCGTGCAGTCTTGATTTATATTTATCTTGTAGATGTCCTATAACTGTTTGACAGAATACTATTTTTTCTACACATTATCAAGCTTATCTGGCACAGTTTATTCAACATGTATTTGTATTTCTCTTGCTTAGTATGTGGTCATAGATCAGACTCAGTCTGATCCTAGCACTAATTTTGATAACAAATGGTTTCATCTGATACGTTTACATGGTACTCGTGTTTACTCTACCACCCTATAATCCACTATAAATGCTGCAGCAGCTTTTGTATCATCCTCATGCCACAGGTCAGAAAACAGGAGTGCAATTACGCTGACATTGCCATTTTCGGAAAACATTCACTAAAATTTTGTGCATTCAAGTGAAGAAACCTGATATTTCCCCCACCCCTCCAGCATGAGGCACTTCTGTACTTAGCACACAAGTGTCCTTATGAACTTTGAGCATTTCTGCAGCTCTGGCGTACTCTGACTTTGGGCAACCAATAAATGAAAAACATGCTATGCATATGTTATGCCCAAGTTAGAACTTCAATAAAAAAATCTTGCCTTGCCTCTACAAGTTCTGCAGACGAAAATCTTTGCTCCTATGTGGTTCATGCTACCTCAGGGGAATCCCAGGGACTGTAACCTTCCATACCCCTTAGCACAGGGCCATAGAACAATAGTGACAAGGCATCCCATCTGCCTTCACTATGCAGGATCCTCCATAGTCCTGATCTTAGCCCACCTTGATACATTACTGGATTAAGGTCAGACTTGAACCCTCACCACAACACAGACATCTTTTAAAAAAACAAACAGAAAAATATGATAAAAATCCCCCCCACCAGATTGCCTAATAACCATCTACAAGGTTCTTAAGTGAGCCCCTTGAACCATATACAAACTTGGTGGTCGCAGAGACAAAATTATTCCTCCAGTTTCCCCACCTTCTCGATCAAGAGAACACACTTTCTCTGTATTACCCCTTCTCTCTAATTATATATCCTCTGACCCTTGTAAATAAATAAATAAATCAAGACTTACTGGTAGAAGCCTCTGTTGCTGATTCATCTGTACAGCAGATTCATCCACAGCTGGAAGGTGGAATTCTGTGCAAGAAAAAAACATGATGTATAGATATAATGCTCTACTTTCATGTTTGATTGTTTGGGGCTTTTTTTAATTGATTTTCCTGTCCCTATAACTGTCTTAACTCTGTTCTGCTCCTACCTACTATGCTCATGCTCTGCTCTTCTTCCAAGTTGTCCATCCCCAGCAGACTGAAGGTATTTGTAAGTTTGTGTAAGGATATCACAAGTCTCCACATGGGCAGCAGTTTCAAGGTAGTTTATTTAGCTCTGTGCTTGGCAGTTTCATTGCTATATCTTCACCAGGAGTGAATAGTAAAATAGTTTACTGCATAGAATCATAGAATCACAGAATAGTTAGGGTTGGAAAGGATTATAAGATCATCTAGTTCCAACCCCCCTGCCATGGGCAGGGAGACCTCACACTAAACCATGTCACCCAAGGCTCTGTCTAACCCGGCCTGCTGCATAGGCAAGATGAGTTCTCTTTCTTCAGAATTGGTCTTACCCATGGAATAGTAACAGAGCGACATATAGAAGAGAGTTTTGATGCTTAAATACTGTATCTTTTCATTACATTGTATTGATAAGAACCTGGAGATTATTTAATAGTAAAACCTAGAGGACAGTCCTGCTTTCTGCATAACCTTTGAGGATGCAGAATGCTTCCTCACTGATTATTGATTAATTCCATAATTATTTTTGCTGCATTATTAGATAATTATACCTGCAGGAATGTTGGATATGTGCAATGATGAGGTGTTTAAAGATGCATTTATAGGCTGACCTGAGGTGCGTGCAAGCTGGAGGCTTATCCAAGGAAATGAAAATGTGGAATTATCTCACTAATTTCAATCTAGAATAATCTGCAAATTATTTTGATATTTCTGTATTCCACATGAACTGATATAATTTTGTTTGTTGTCACTGTCAACCATACAATAACATTAACATACTTAAACAGTCAGTCAAGAGGAGAAAAGAATACTTGAATGTTAATTGACTAGATAAACCGATTTGGTGTTTCACTTGAAAGGGTTAAGATCACATGATCAGTAACAAATTATGCTGACAATTTGTTTAATATCTTCATATTGTACAAAAAGTTGCCAGACCACCTGACTTAAGTGCTTTTGAACTATATTACAGCTACCTACAGATCTTTACAAAAAGAATAAGCACAAGAATTTAACACCTAAAAACCAGGAAATAAAATGCTACTGAAAAAATAATAATAAAAAAATACTTGCTAAATTCCATAACTTTCCAGCAGATGGCATGAGTATGTCCCTAGAAAGCAAGAATCTGTTCACCATAGATCCCATTACATTTCAGGAGATAACAAAAGTAACAGTTTAAGGGGACCAAATATGGTCCTTGTTAAATACATGCTTTATTTTTTCCCTACCTAACTGGTTTTAACAGCATTTGGCTCACCCCTGCCTCCCCAAGGTGGAGTTTGTATAAGCAAAACAAGTTAGTTTAATACCATGACTTACATTGCTTCAGGGCTCCTGAAGACAGTGACACTGCCATGCTGAACTCCTGGTCTAGCAGGCTGCTGGGGTACTGGGGTCACTTGGCATATTGTTCACAGTGATTGCTGCTCACAAAGCATTATGGCATTTAGAGACCACTGTGGGAAGAAAGATAAGTTAAAGCAAGGTAAAAGTTTTCAGCAGACTTAGCTTCAGCAGAGATACTTCCATTGGATATCTTTATTACACAGTTCAAGTGCAGTGAAAATTTTAAATCAGCTCTCAAATACTATTTTAATTTTGCAGTACAGGGCTACAATATAAGTAGCTATGGCAATATTTAAATTTTTAAAATTTAAATATTTATATTTAAACTTTATTAAGCTCTCAATTTGGTAAAGCAGCAAAAAAGTGCTGTCACTTCTTGTGCATCTGAAACTTAATTTGTTCCTTATGGAAACCTCTCTGGGCAGCAGGGTAAGTGGACCGTATCAAAATTAGAGAACTCGGAAATTCAGAGAGGCAACCCATCAGAAGCCTATTCCTAAAATGTTTTCAGTTCCCCACATTTAAAGTATGTTTTACTTCTTGTGGAGACAGACGCTTTTGAATATTTCACTACTATCTGTAGTATCAGGAGAAAATTTTAATAAGAAGCTTCTAGGAGTCAGTATTTAAATGGATTTTTATGTTTTATTTATATGGGACTTTTGCCTGTGAACAGTTTCTTCACCAATTAGAATGGATTTAAAAAAAATAAAAAGGTGAAGTAAACTGTTGCCATTTTCCATACAGATATCTAAAATGTACCATTAGGGCTGTTTCAATTTATTTTCAAGGTCACCTTTAACAGCCCATTTGGAAGATAGATACACACACTCACTATGTTTCCTATATATTACTTTTCAGGTTTACAGCTGAAGTAAACTCTGTTGGAACCTCCTTCTATTCCCTGCCACATAACATATTGTGCTAATACATATTCATAGTTCATGCCACAGGATACATAAAAGGGAGAGCTCCTGCCAGGAGGTGCTATATTATAGCATGACACTTGTCCAGCAATCAAAGTCCTAAAAGCTGTACTGTACTGTGAGTGTTACACCAGTGAAGGATGGCAAGATGTGGAGCTCAACTGGCTTCCCTACGCCTTTTGGTTGACATCATCCCCCCTTCACCTTTCTACAAGCAACATCTGTTGACTTGATGAAAAGGGGATGTTTTGCACAGTTGGCTCCTTTGTACCATTTTGCTGCCTTCTCACTAGAGCCATGTTAACAATGAAAAGGAAACACAAAAGGGTTTAAGGAGCATATGTTCTGATGACAGCTTTATATGATCTTTCACAGACTTACCTTTCAGTTTTCAGACCTCTGTTCATATATGTGCACACTACTTAATCTGTGTTTCACGTGTCCGTCTTTAAATAATACTGTCACTGGCCAAAGTGACATATATGACATATATGAAATATCCCAGCCGTTCCTTACTTTTAATTGTCCCAATATTATTGAAGCATTTTTAATGGGCAGATGGATGTGTTAGCTGTGAAGCGTTTAATAATAAGAAACGCAACAGTAGTACTCCAGGGAGAGATTTGCTGAGAAAGTGTGTTTGTATTTAACCTTACTACATATGAGAAGCAGACACATCTTTCATCAAAAAGAACTGGTCATTCGTTACATAAACATTGCTGCATACAATGAAGCTACTTTCATTATCTAGTATTATTCACTTGTAAAGACAAATCTGGAAACATACAAGCCAGTGTGACCTAAAGTAGGCTGAATGCTGCCTTTCCTTTGGAGGGTGCTGCCTGAATGGCTAAATCCTTTTTTCCAGCATCTTTGAGTGGGTGTGTCTGTGTTAGAAGACAGCTTCATGGGCTTGCGCATCCTCCTGTACGAGGATGCAGAACCATAGCTGCCGCTGCACCACTATGTCTGAAGAAAGTGGACAAAACAAAGGATTTGCTACCATGTTATAATTCACATTGTCGATGTTAGTCTGTCTGATGGGCACTGGTACAGTTATCTCTATGCAATACTTCTTCAAGTAGTAGACATATGCTGTTCCTTGCTTCTTCTCCTTATGTTTTAATCTGAACAGCAGGCTTGAACTGGATTTATTTTTAGCATTGCCACTAGCTGTTGTGTGATACTGGGCAATTAACCTCAGGCTATGAAACCTACTGCATGTTGCTGTGGTAATATATCACTTCCCTGAGCAGCATACTGCAAGAACTGACTAGTAGTATAAAATACTTTCAGATCTTTGGTTACAGAGTATTTATAAACAGACAGAATGAAGTAGGTGTTTGTAGGGCATCCAAGAATTCAATATCCTCTTTTATAATCACTTCCATTATTATTCAGGCCATTCCTTTCATGCTATGAGAACACTTCCCCATCTAGTTTCTTATTTTTTCTTTTTTTTTTTTTCCTTTTTTTTGACATGTGTAGGAATGAAATAAGAGGATATTTGAGCAGTTTCCAGATACTAAACATTTTAAGAGACAGCTGACATAAAAAATTCTTGTCACCAAACATAAAAGAGCAGCCTGACCAATACTGCTGTAATAGGTTAGCTGATCAGCATTTAAGTGAAATCAGCTCTTGAACTAAAGAATGGATGTGCCCTTGTGCTATATCACCTTATTTTCTTTTGACTGCTTATTGTAATACCAGGCCCTCAAAAATAACCTACTTAAAGAGGATAAGGCAAACTACACCTTAAATTTTATCAGTTTAAAAACAGAAAACAACTTGATGTCCTTACCAGAATGCGTAGCCACTTGCAGTCCAACAACTGTAACCTTTTGGAAATGTTTCCTTATACTTTTTCCTCCACCGACTTGTCAAAAAACCTGCTCAGGAAACCTTGGACAGTCATGAAATTTGAGCTAATTCATTTCATTTCTTTGCTCAAGCAAATACAGCCAGACAGTTATCAGTGAGAAATGCAACCACGTATTTGGTTTTACTTTGGAACTTTCCCATGTGATTACAAATGTAATCTAATCATAGGTAAAGCAGGTCTTCAAACCAGATTCATGTCTGTAGCTTGCATTTATGCATACTTTGTTAACTTGCTTTGCATTCTTTTTTAGCTTTACCATTATTAGTACACACTTGGGATGTAGATACGGGGTATACAACCTAGCCTGTCCCTTAGCTACTCTGCCTAATAGTTACATCTTAGACATTGCTGTCAGAAATAAAAAGCAAAGTCTAAACATAAGACATTTCATTTACTGGCCCTGAGAAAAATTAGACTCACCACTCAGTCAAAATAAACTACAGAGTACCTCCTCAGCTAGTCCACAGTACCTCATTCATTTTGAATGGTATTTCAGATTAGTTTCTTTTAATCTGATTTAGTAACGACTACTTAGTGGAAAAAAATAATTTTTCAGATTCAGGTGCGGGAACAGTAAATATTGCATACTTGTGGTTTTTAACATTTAGACCAACCTAAATATTTAGTAAGCCCATAAGGACTTGGAGAACCTTGTTGCTTGATACATTGGCTGAACAATAATGCTATGTGTCATCACATCAGAACAGATTTTTGTACTGGCAGTGAAACTTGGAACAGCTTTCTGTGGGCAACTCCTTTAGCTGAGTCAGTATAAAATCTTGTCAATAGCATCCCACACTGCCTCACTTCACCACACCACAGCGCCTACATGTTTGTGGTTAAGAAGAAGTATCATCTGGTCCTTGGTTAGATTAAGTTTAAATATAAAAATTATTACCATACTTAAATACTTTTTATGCTAAGATAGATGTCAGATTGCCTCATAGGCCTCTTGCACTCTAATCTATTCCCAAATAATTCTTTTTTCAATCAATTAAGGAATGACATACAGCTTTTCACACTTCAATTATGCACAGGAATTTTGATGAGAAATAGTCATCAAAAAGTGTTAGATTTGTTTTGCACAGCATTCAGAGGCGAAGTACAGATCCCAGCTACATAAATGTGAAACCAGATCTGAATTTTGCTCATAGAATTGTTTAACAGGGAATAAGCTCCCAGTCTACAAACCTGGTTTGGATGAGATCAGATGTGTACTCTGACACAAGAAAGCAAGCATCGCCATTCATGAAAAAAAGTGCTTTCCCTTCCTTTGCTGTTGCTTCCACTCAGGCAGCCTTCCAGACTATTTGAACACTTGTTCTTTTTACAGTGCCAAGAAACAATAAAAACCTTAATTTCTCCTCCCAGCCAAATTCTTGGTTTTTATTATACTTTCATTTAAAATAAAATGTAATCGATTTAAGGGCTGAATAAGGACAAGAACATAGAATGGGAAAATTCCACATACTGGTATTTTTCCAAGATGCCAGAAGAGGTGGGTGTCAAGTAATTTCTTTTTTTCCCCACACCTCTTTATTCAATTCTATTAGAGGACTACAAGAGCCATTTTCTCTACACCCTCTCACAAAACTTGAGAACATACCGCACAGAAAGGCTCTTACCAGCTGTAGCATGAATAAAAGTGGGAACTGCCAAATAGAAAATTATCTTCTTTGAGACTGCAGTTGGTAGCTCCTGCCAGATTTAAAGGAACTGCACAGAGAATCACATGGGAGAAGTTTTATAAAAATAATACTGCAGTAGAAAAAGGTTAGAAAGGAACAGGATGATGCTTGTGAGAAGCCGCTGTTTCAGTGCTATTGCTGCCACTATCACACACCTTTCCAAAATCAATATATATTAAGAATTTTACAATTAATAATCAATTAACTAGTTACAAATAGTTCGTTCAGGAACCAAATTCTAAAGTGTTTATGTTAATAAATCAGAACACAGATGACAGGAGTTTAAACAGTGTACATTGAGATTTATTAGAACAAGCACTAATAGCAGCAGTGTACAGAGTGATGGAGACAATGTACTGTACGCATTGAACAATAATAATTATACAATTGCACTTCTTCAGAGATCTATTAGAAAATGCTTTTCAGTAAACAGTTTCCCAAATCTAGCATTGTTTGGATTTGCCTCTGAGGAAAAAAATACAAAAAATATGCTTTTTTTTTTTTTGGTAAGGCATTAGCAACATTCATTGGCAGGCTAAACAAGTCATTTGTACATGCATTATCCAATTACATTGCAATAGGTAAAGATGCATCATGTTTCCTCAGTACCTAGAATTGCGTGTGTGTGTGTGTGCTTTGGACACAACATCCTGGTAAATCCAGATCAGCCTTAAGGAAACAGATGACATCTTTCGTTACATTTTAGAGCACAACATAAACTACAGCATAGCCAGGTTCACCTTTGTTTCCTACTAGAAGCTGCAGGACCTCTCTCAGTTGGAGTTGGTATTATGGATATTGTGTATACCACATACATCACTGGAATAAAGTCTTTATTAAATTAATTAAATGACTATTCCCCCCACTACCACCTCCCTGAATCATGTGGCCAAAAGATGCTCGACTGTAATCAATATTAAGTACTATATGAGCTTGGGGTTATTGCATGAGAGGTAGTCAGTGTGAGGCCTCATCTCATTCTGGATTACTACAACAGTATGTTCAAACCCAATCCACGAGTGCAATGACACAGCATAAGTGTTGTAGCTGCATTATGTGGGAACATAAAACTGTTTTTAATTCTGCTCCTTCCTGACTAGTTTCAACCTCTGAAGTAGCCAGAGAACTTGATATATCAAAAAAAAAAAAAAGCAATTCTATTCATGTGCTAAAGCCTAGAAGGAGAGAGGGTGAGGCACTTTCTCACATTCATGTTATTCTAGGCTGAGATTAGGTGCATGCTCTTAGTTAGCCACCTCCTTCTTTGCAAATAACAAAGATTAGTCTCCCTTTTTGACTGACATACAGTATTAGCAACCCTCACCCTGGGCTGGCACCATCCTGGGTAAAGTACAGGGAAACAGGTATAGGAAATTCAAATATTCTTAAAATTAAGCTTGTCAGAGTGAGACATAATATGATGAATTGTCATTGATTTAATCTCCTGTTCTTTCTTCCAAATGTCCTACGTAATTGAGCTTAGCAGAGACATGAAGCTAACTGCTTTTTAAAAAATACAAATCTCAGAATAAGGTCCCAAAATGCAAGAGAGTCAAAATAAAGTCAAATATATTGCTCTGATTGGCAAGCAGTCAAACCAGCTGTATTTTATACATTTCTCTTCCACAAGAGAGTGTACATATTCAAAATTAATCTGAAGTGTAACTAGCTGACTATCTAGGCTTGGCTGTAAGACAGGCCCACAGCTGAAACAGATTCGGGCCCCCAGATCATCCACTCACCTGGAAGCTCACTGAGTTGTACCAACAGCATCTCAGCCTCATCTGCATAGGTGCTCATTCATTTAAACATATAGGAATTAAAAATCAAGTCCTATAGCATCTGATGTAACCAGATACATTGTTTTGATTTCGTAGGAATGTCACTATTGATTCTCTTTATTTGAACTTTATTATCTTTACCTTTTAAACTGAATTCAATGAGACTGTTAACACTAAACACATCGATGCCAGTGTAAGATCAGCATCCAAGCACATGAAGCAGGAAAAAAAACAGAATAAATTCTGAGTTGTGTGTTGCTGATTAACTGTAATAAAAGTCTATAGATTTGGAATGTACAAATTACATCCTACTCATGTCATTCCTCAGCTGTTGATGCTTACTAACTGTAAGCAATACAGTTGTTTTTACAGGCATGATTACAGACAGCATTTGGAGTCAGAATTAATAAAACATAAAGAAGAATCATCCTGAAAGATATCCTAAACTTATGAATTGTCAAGCACAAAGGAATGCATTTGCAGGAAAGCAATCAAGATCAATCCAGATTTATTTTTATTAATGTTAAATTACTGAATGTCCTATGAAGGACTAAACTTGTGCTTTAAAAAACTGTGACACTAAGTACCTTACACAGTTTTCAAAACAAGTATTTGCAAATCAGTTTTCTATTGAGTTGTTTAGAAATTATGGTATTGACTTTTTTTTCCAGTTTCCTTTTCTTCATATCATTATGGAAGTCCACAGTGAACTTCTGGGCATAAAATTAAGGGTGCTGCAGGTGAGATTTAATATTACAGTGCTCAAAAATAACACCTTCTGCAACATTTCGGTAGCTGAGTACATAAATACGTCTTTTTTTCTTTCTTTCCCTAGGTAATAGCTTTCTATTGCTTTCAAACAACAGGAAAAAAAATGTCTGGTGAACCTAGAACACCAGCCCTTTCTAACACAGTCTGTTCTTTCCCTCTAAACCAGTACTCAAAAGCAGCTCAATTTTCTAGGTTTCTAGAAAGCAACTATTTGCCTTTAAAATCCATCTTAAACACTGGAAAGTGAGTTTCTGTATACCTTTCTAGCTGACATAATAGCATAATCCCAGTGGGAAGACTCTGAGGATCTCATTCTACAAGTATGCTACACAGAGGTGTACAAGAATTCACCAGATTGCGAGGAGGATGGGGGATGCTGTAGGATGAGGACAGGGGTATGGGCAATCAGCAAAGAATGCTCTTTTAGCTATTTAGGGTTTTGCATTTTGGCCTGTGAAAGAATTGATGCAAGGCTGTTTCCCATCTGAAATTAAAGGCTGTTAAAAGCAAAGCAGCTCAGTAAGGCAATGTAAAATTGACAACTATCTAAACCTTACTTTTCTAATGGCATTTTCAGCTTCTGAGTAAGGTATAACTAAAACTTACTACATTTCATACATATGGGATCTAATCTCACCAAAATAATGTGAAATTATTCCCAATTCATATTAACTTTGTGCAAAAGTGAGAGAAAATACAGAATGCTTAAAATACTGAGATATCATAATTCACCAGTTAATTAAATAAAGCAATGCAGATAAAGACCAAAAGAAGAGTCTTGCTTACTTATAACAAAGAAAATATATGTAACATCCCAACACAGAACTATCATAACAATCTCTCTGGATACCACGGAAGTTTAATTTGATGATGGCTTTTTATGTGCTAAATAAAGCATCCACTTCAGACAAACTAGCAGTTACAGATAAAGAACAAGAAGTTTGCTATGCATTTTGGTGAAGGAGAAGATTTTAGACATCAGATACTAGCAGCTTGATTTCTTACTTAATTTATAGTAAATAACATAGACACAAATCAATATACAAAGAAGAATCCTGTCTGGGAAAGCATACTGATATTTCTGTTTGGTCCAAGGATGAAATTTCAGTGAGTAAGCACTACAGGTCCAGACCACTCTGAGAACTAGATTAGAAAGATCTGAGAATTAGGTGCAAGACAGAAGCACCACTCTTCATGTCTGGAGAGTTCCAAACATTGTTTAAGTTTTAAAACTCAGACGTCACATGTAATTAATTCTTAGTGAGGAATTAATGCTTAATAATAATTAGTTTAGAAATAATTATAAAGGAACAAGAGTAGTGCTTCTGCTAATTAGAGAGAAAGACTAAGGTAGCAGTTGCCATCTCTGCATACGTGCATATCATAATACATTCATAAGCATTTATTTCTCAGCTCATAGTCAGGTCTTGTTTGAGACTGATGAAAACAAAATTTACTGTGGTCTGAATTTGTTGTACTATATTTCAACCACTAAAGAATACCAGTAACACTTATTTCAAGATGTAATTTTTAACCTCAAATTGGAACAACAATTTTCAGTGTTGACTTCAAGATAGGTGGCAAGGCAAGTTTAGCATATTTATGTACAATTTTATTACTGGTGATCCAATCTCAAAATATTTCATAAAATATTTAGCAAATACAAACATAATTGAAGATAGTGTCTGTATTTCTCCTGAATTTCCTTTGCCTGAAAAAATAGTGCTGATTAAACTAATATTAATTTTGTTAATTTTACTGTAATAATCCTTATTTGGGTCAATATAACAAAGGAAGAGAGAGTATATTCAGCACAGAAAACAAATTGGGCTTTGCAGTCCTGACTCTTAACACTGATTGTCCTCTGTGGACCTGACAAACCAACACCTGGGCCACAGGCACAATCATAAATAGCAATGCAACTTCAGAAAAAGATGTTGTATGTGTGTCTACACTAACAGGCACAAGGAGCAAGTATCTCAATAACGAAGAATAGTTCTTGTTGAATATTTATCACCGTGTGTGCTGTTCTTATATAGCACTAAGATCATTTTGATGCTCAAGGTATATAAGTTACCCACTTCTGACTTTCTGAAGGAATTCCTCACCTCTTCCCTTTTTGCATCCCTAACATTCTGGGCCAGCAACATTATAAATATATACGTATAAAATACACACATACATACATATATGTGTGTATATATATATATAAACGAACACATATTAAGACATACCTTTTTCTTTAAGGCAGACCATTAACAGTAGCAGTTAATACAGAAATACATTTTAGTGTTTCCTAGGAGACAACACCTAGATCACTGCTCCAGAAGTACTACTAAGTAGCTTTACCATACGTCAATGAATATTGACATTCTATATTACACACTACTGATTATATATTCCAACTTTCTCGTGTCCTTATTTATAAAATATGTATCTCCTTTTGTCCATATTACCAATACACCTTCACCCAAATGCTGGCTACAGCATTTTTTATTTATAGAAGGAATAAAAACTTCCTTCACCTTTAGAATTAATACTGAGTAAATGTCACCCATCTTCCCTTTTTCATGCTGTCATGGGCCAGTGGAAATAAAAATGGTATTAAGATAACCTGCCTGAAACAGATTCAGCAGCTTTACTGACATTTTAATTCATAAAACTTAGAAAACTTATTACTATGTTACAGCTGTGCCGCTGACAGAGCTGCTGTGACTGGCTTCCCTAGAAAGTTTCTCCACCATAGTCTCTGACTCACTTTTCTGAGATTTGACAAAGATCACAAGGAACGGGGAAAAAATAAAGATAAGATGGGTTTATAATACCAAAAAACTTGTCAGAGTAGGGGGTGGGACACCTACAAGTACATTGCTATCACTTTTTAAACCTGCAAGATACCGTATAAAAATCCTTTTGTAAGAAAGGCTTTTCAGTTCAGTGGAAGAAAGATGTAACTTACAATAAAGCTAATGAAGGTGTTTTACATTTTCTAGTTTAAAGAGCAAATTATGTATTTGCTTTTGTAAGTAGACTCCTTACAATATTGTCGTGGTTTAAACTCAGTCAGCCACACAATCTCTCTCACTCCCCCTCCTTCCTTCCCCCCCACTCCCAGAGGGATGGGGAGGAGAATCGAATGTAACTCCCACGGGTTGAGATAAGAGCAGTCCAGTAACTAAGGTATAACACAAACCACTGCTGCTACCACCAATAATAATAATGATAAGGGAAATAACAAGGGAAGAGAATACAACTGCTCACCACCCGCCGACCAATACCCAGCCTGACCGAGCAGTGATCGAACCCTTCTGGTTAACTGCCCCCAGTTTATATAGTGGGCATGACATGACAGGCTGTGGTATGGAATACCTCTTTGGTTAGTTTGGGTCAGGTGTCCTGTCTCTGCTTCCTCCCAGCTTCCCTCCTCCCTGGCAGAACATGAGACTCAGAAAGTCCTTGGTCAGAGTAAACGTTACTGAGCAGCAACTAAAAACATCGGTGTTATCAGGGCTGTTCCTAGGCTGAAAGTCAAAACCACAGCACTGCACCAGCTACTAAGAAGGAGAAAGAAATGACTACTACTGCTGAACCCAGGACAAATATATAATGCAAAAGTAAAATAAATTGCTGTAAATAAGATATGTGCTTACCAAGATTTGCAACATTCTTTCTGGGTGCCATTCACCCAATGAATGTTCTAATGGAGCTCAGGGAGATATCCTACTCAGGAATAATTACACTTGGGCTAGATTCTTCTGTAAAAAAAAAAAAACAAACAAAAAAAAACCACAACCAAAAAACAACCCTCCACCCAAAAACAACAAAAAAAAACAAGTCCCAACTTGTCCATCCCCCTCCCCCCCCAAAAAAAGAGAAAAAAGTAAAAAAGACCTTCCTCCATGAAACTACTTCTGAGTGATACCAGAAGATGATAAAGTAGACCAGGGATAATAAAGTAGAAAATTACACTTCTTCTTACACTAAATATACTTTTGCAATTTTGAGCACATTAACAAAAAACCTTAGTTGCCACTGTTTCCCTGCCTACCTGAACTTTTATCAATATATACTCTAAGGAGCAAATTCGAGTTTTATGCAGTTTTGATGACTGTTACTTAACGACAAACAAGAAAAAAAACCCACAAAGTAGCATTTTCAGCTTCAGTAGCTCTCAAGGTAAGTGGTAATGACATAATAAATTTTGTTAACGGCCAGTGAAGCCATTCCAGTGTTTCTCACACACGTCAAATCTTCTTCCTCCAGATGGGTCACACCCTCTTACTTAACCCTTCCTGTCATTTTAACTTAGAGAAACAAATACCCTTTCCTTTCAAGTGGATTTAAACTGAAAACTCTCTTTTACTTTCATCATGCAGCTCCAGTATTAGTAATGACATCTAAAATAGAGTTAATTCCTCAGACTACAACTGCAGCCAACAGCATGTTAAACAGCTAATCTCTGCACCAGACAAAATCCTGTAAAACAAGGAGAGTTCACAAACCTGCATACTAACACAGCTTTGCTAGTGAAAACAAGTTGTGCAAAACTCACAGAGAAGGCATATTCAGCTCTCTTGGTTATTGTGCAAGCGCAAATGAACCTCCTCTCCCTTCCAGGGTATTTCTAAAAAAATCAGATTTTTTGAGGAAACTCTACAAGCAAGACTGCATTGTGCTGGGCACTGCTCTGCCTGGTTCAAGAGTGAGAAAATCCTATGTTACATCCATAGGAAAGAGGGCATGGCCCAAAGGCAAGCTCCTCACCAGGCACACATGGGGCAGATCCAGCACCGGCTCCTAGTGTCTCTTATGGTTTGTGTAATTTGTTTCCATAAAGCTCTGACAGTGTTCAGTATGGAGTTAAGGGCAGTATCTTTCAAAACTGTGTCATGTGTATGCACTGCAATATTCACCATACGCCCAGCACGTGCTATTGAAATAAAACCCACAAAAGCCACAAGCTCATTCAGAGTCAGAAGTTCAAAATGAGAAGAAAAAAAAAAAAGGTAAAATTATATGTAAGATGAAAAGAGTATTATAGTGGGAGCTCACTTTTAAAGCCAGGTAAAAAAAAAAAGTTTATTTCATGCTACTTACATCTGTCTAAAATTAGAATGGGTGTCTAGATGACTTTTCAATCACAGTGATACTGTACGATAAGCAACTGATATTCAAATTGTATCTCCCAGTGAGATAACAATTTCTAATATGCCAAAAAATCTACCATCTTGTTAATACAGATCTAAAACAGGAACAAAGCTATTTAAGTCTTTGTAAGACATTACATTTGATGAAAATAGCTATTTTTATCCTATCATATCCGCAGTATCAGAACAGGGAACAAATTAGGTTACACTTCTAAAATATTAATTGAAAGTACAGTTCACTATTTTTAAACTAAAGCATAGGGTTGTGTATTTTATACAGAAATAAGTGTTCTGAGAAAAACACAGTAAAAAGCAAAGGATATGTCTTTGTAGTGAAAGAGCTTCTTAAATAGTTTAAAAGGTTTTAAATGTCAAATGCTTTGCACTAATTTTCATAACATACCAAACTGATAGCAATATATCTACTACGTTGGTATTTTTCATGCCTGGATGAATGGAGTGAGGTGGGCTGAAACCTGCAAGAATCCCCAGGCTTGAAAGGACACTGACCAATGGCTTACTCCCCACCACCAGCCAGCGATGAGGACAGCCCTGCAGTGATCAATTTTGTGGCCCATATGAATCAACATCTTACCAGTTGCCCTGACCTGGGCAAGGGCATAGACTGCATGCTAACAAGTTTGAAGATGACATTAAATTAGGAGTATGAGATGGCATGCCAAATTGCAGAGCTTCAATCAGAAGGGCATTCCTTGGCTTGAGACTGGGCCAGAAGACACTTCATGAAGTTCAATAGAAGTGCAAAGATCTGCACCTGAGGCAGAAAAATCCCATGCCAAGCAGCAGCCCTGCCGAAAGCAGCAGGCACTTAAAATAGGTGCCAGGCTGCAAAGGAGCCAACAGTGTGTTCTCACACTGGCAGAGGATGTGGAAATCCCACTATCCCCCACTGGGATAGTGCTGGTGGAATTTCACAGGTTGTCTACAAATTATAATTTGGATAGAAGTCCCCAGACGTATCCTCTGTTAACCCATTCTCTTTAGAAACAGCACAAAATATGTCAAAATATCGCCAAGGGTTACAGGAAAATATTAATAAAAGATTTCACACAGAATCGAGAGAATGCTGCACTATAAGAAACTGTTCTATGGTACATCTGATAGCACATTTCAATTTCTGATAAAGACTGCAAATAGTTTGTGATGCATTGTTTTGCATTTCCTCTACTTAATAATTAACATTCAGTAGGCTTAAAAAGTGTCTTCAATAGAGACTTAGCATATCACTTTTATTCTAAAAATGCTAATGTTATTTTTCTCTCAATGAGTGTCAAATAAACAATTGTAAAAATTAATTAAATCAGTGATAGCATCTCTAGTTTTCACCAAGTTTCAATTTGCACTGCAAATAATGGCATTCACAAAGCACTAGCAGAACACTAAACCTAAAGACCTTATTTCTATATTTAAATTAAAAAATGACTGTCAAAAAAATTGGGAACATGCAGTTACTGTCCCTCAAATGTACTTGCACTCATACACACATAATGCTTTCTAATATCACAGTGAACTGCACACAAAGACTGGAGCAAATGTATAATAATGTTTTTAAGGAAAGTGACACAGAATAATTAATTGCTGTTTTGCACACAGTGTGCCAATTTAATTCGTAGTCATTGAAGCAAGTAGGATGAATTTAACCAAATATGATTAAAACCCCAAACTCTGATATATTTCCATTTTCTCAAAATAATTGCAGAACTAAAAAAAAAAAATAAATATTCAGACTAGTTTCAACTAGGAAAAAAAAAGATATTGTTCTTTAAATGATTCAAAATTTTCTTTGGAAGAAATCCTGTTTAATACACACACAGGTTTTTTATAACAAATATCATAAGCAATACATGAGCATTCACAGCTCTTTAAAATGTCTACTTTATATTTTCTTTAGGTTTTCATAGTTCTGCCTGATAACAGAACTATGTGAAGAAACTGGAATTCTTTAGTAGCTAGTTGCTTTGCCAGTGGCTTTGCCATACAAACAAGGGGAAGAACTGAATGTGTATTAAATAACCAAAGTAATCTCAGTTCTGTAGGGACCTGACTCTGCAAAAAAACAGAAGCAGGTAGAGAGCTGGGTACGTGTGGTAATCTACTGAGAACTGTCCAAGCAGCTCTGCTGGCAGGATCACATACCTCTCTAATGCTTTTTTTTAGGTCTCGGTACTGGAATCAATCTTCAATAGAAAAATTCAAGTGCACTATGTATGCTGCATATGAATAGAAAGAAACACAGTGTATATGCATGAAATCTAACCTATCATCAGTGCCTGGATGTATAATACGTGCATAAATGGAAGACTAGATCATACTATATGGAATGCAGTTTTTACCTAATAAAATTACTTTGTTTCTTTTTATTAAAATCTGCCCTACTGTTTAATGTTTCAGAGATTTTCAAATAGAAAGTGCCAAGCCTTCTCCCACATATATTAACTGAGGCTTAGCAACACATAAGAGACTTGGTTCTTAATCAAAAAATATAGAATCACTTTACAAAAAACTGTAAAATATAATTTTGCACAAAAGCTATTTTGGCAACACAAATAGTAGTTGTTAGCTACAACACATGGGAGCCTCTTCCATACTCTCAAATATAAATTTAGGTAAGAAAAGTGGATGGGGACAAATCAGAGCCAGTAAGCAGTATGTGCGGCAGAAAACAGTTGCATTTTTATAGTACTATCCAGCTTCCAGAGAGAAGCCAGAGTCCTTCCCATGAAATCTTCCTGTGCTTTTAACACTGTTGCAAAACTTCAGGGAATTCTAATTGTATAAACAGTTACGGGGAAACTCAACATCAGTCATTTCGAATATAATTTTCTGACCAGCAATTCATACGCATTTTTCAAAACTGCCTCAAATTCAAGCAGTTTGCAGTTTCTTTTCAGTCTGAGTATACAGTCAGCTTCCCAAAGCTAAAGCATATACAGTAGATCTCATACCTCTGAAATACAGTTAGATGTTCGGTTGTTTTTTGATTTTAAATAATGCAGGTTCTCCAATATTTATATCAGGATAAAATTCTAGTGCTTTAAAAATCTGCCCTTCACATAAGCCTAAGCATACATATTTTAAAATTACTTACTGTACATCTTCATATTTTGTTTAAGGCATGAACAATGGCATATGAATGGGAACAGCTTCCGGAAAAGCATATCTTTTTGACAAAGGCCAGTCCAACCACATCACACCAAAGGACTAACCTGAAGCCAGAAATGACAATGCTGTGACCCAAGAGTTTTTAACAAAAATAGTTGAAATAAAATGGAATTTTTTTCTCTTTTTCTTCTTTTTTTTTTTTTTATTTAAATTACATTGCTCTTAATGTCTGTTTAAAGCACCGGTTGCAGTTCTGCATTTACCACCTCTTCCAAGTGACTTTGGATAACTCATCTGCTTCTTTTGTTCTGAATTTTCAATGTATGAAACTTTAAAAGGTTTCTGTTTCTTTTTTTTATTATTTTTTCCCTTTTTTTTTCTTTGTTTTTTTTTTTTTTAATGGCTGCTGCAAAATTAAAAAGATCCAGAAGTGGTCAGGGGCCTGGTCTAATGCACTTTCAGAAGTCCATTATAAAGATGAATATAAATGTGAATGATAGGTTTTTCCGCAGACCCACAAACCACACTTAGCTATTAGAAACATATTGTGCATAGTTATTTTTTTCTTCAGAGTGATATGTTTACTAGATCTACATTCTCAGTTTACCAGAGTATGGGAATTTCTACTTTGCTAAAGCCAGGATCCTTTCGCAGTTCCCAGTAGGTATCATTGGTAACCCAGGCTTCTCTTTGATTAGCATCAATAACTTTTCTGTAGAAAGATAAAAAAAAGAAGAAACAGTTCTGACCAGAGAGCTCTGCTTTATGCAATATGAAATTCAGGGATTTAAAAATAAAAATCAACCTCTCTACCTGTGTCAAAAGTGGAACGTTTAGAAGACAGCCAAAATTGCATGTATGTTGCCTGATCGGTGTGAGCTGGTCTTAGAACCACATAAGACCTCTTTGGCCATTACAGATTCTGACTATGTGCACAGAATCAAGCAAGAGTTTAAACTTGCAGAATGCAAGACTTTTACCTTTTATGCTATTTGCCTCCTCTGTATTTTGTTCATCTTCTACTACAAAACTGCATCAAGCATGTCCAATCTTTTCCCTTTTGATTACTCACGCTAAACATCAGGCAATTTGGTATTAACTATCCCTTGTTTCAGAAAAATGCTTAATTAAAAACAAAAACCAAGCCACCACCACCCCTCACTCAAAAATAAATACACTGTAATTTACGTATACATGCACATACATTTACATATGCATTTCACAGATGTATAAATATATGTATGATGTTGTTTTACAGGTCACTATTTCTTACTTTGTTTATGCAAAGACTTAAACCAGTAACATAGTTGAATCTTAGATCCTAATATTGTACTTCTGTTCCACTTCAAAGTTCAAAAAACATTGGCCAAAGGGTGCAGTAGGCTTGCATAGTTGTTACACCTTGTGAGAAAATAATCTTTCTATTATGAAGCTTTAAAATATGTAAAAACTGTTTCAAGCAGAAATCATCTGTCTGATATTTTTTCTTAAAATTGCCATTTTCCAGGCTTTCACAATTAACAGACCACACTGGTGGTAATTCTTGCAGTACTTTGTACAGCCATACTATAGAAAACAGAGACTTACTCCTGAAATTAATAGACTCACTTAAAAAATTTGGGTCTATATTCAATGTTGTTTTCCTCCATGTATCGCCTCCGACCTCTCTGGAGTTCCTCTATTCTTTGTTTCTCAGATGCTGCTGCTTCTATATTTCCTTCCTCCAGAAGCCTGTATGGATAATAACAGGTATTGCAGCAATTATACAGTGTCTAGAAAAAGGGATTTTCTAGCAACAATCATCATAAAAGACAAGTGGAAGCCACACCTGTTGTCTGTCTTGTACCCACTTTCAGATGTAGTCATAATCTCATAAAATAAGCATAACCGAGATGTGACTCCCCAGTTACATGTACCTGATCTATAGCCTAAGGTATACACTTTAGCAATTTCAGCATACACAAACATTGAGGTATTATGAACTGAGAATAAGGAGGAAATTAACATTGCTTCCATTCATTGCAGGAGGACATGACATTTCAGAGCCTGTCTTTGCCGTTTGTTATGAGGAATCCTACCTCTGCCCAAAGACTGCCATATAGCACTACTGTACCAACAGGATGCTTTCTACTTTTCCTCAACTAGGTAAAGCAGAAATTTGATTGCAATACTGAATACCTTCTCTGCTAGCAGAATTCTCCAAATCTTAGTTCAGACTCTAGTAAAGACATAGATAAAATTCAGTACTCAGCCAAACCCAGCATTAAAACCACCAAATATTATATGTATAAACGAGCATTCTTACCTTTGATCTGGCCTGAATCGTGCATCTGTCATAGGAAGAAGATCTTTCAGTAAAGGATCTAATTCATTGAGCTCAATAGCAAATCTCGTGAAGCCATAATAACGTTCATAATTGGTTGGCATGGAGCCTGCGTGAATAAGTATGAGAAAGAAAAAAGTTTTTGAAACTATTATTCTAAATATGCAAGAGATTCATTTTTTTATTAAATTATAAAAGCAAAAATATGAATATATTTTACTCTCACATACAATTTAAAAGCATAAAAAGCTATTCACTAGGTAGAAAGAAAGTCACTAAATATTAATTTCAAGTGCTTTTTCTGCAGAGGTTGTAATTACATGCTCACAGATTCAAAAATTTTATGATCTTTCTTCCTTTTAAAATAAAAAAAAATACTGGTTTTAAGATTTTCAACTTAAACATAGTTTCCTGTTCCCTAGAAAGTGGGCTTATCAAATGTCTGTATAAAAGCTAACCTTAACTGATCTTAGGGTTAATTTTGAACATAAGGCTCACTCACAGACTGCTTCAGCACTGTCCAAAACCTTCAGCACAAACAGCAGTCAGAGTAGACATTGCAGAGAGTAGGGTGCAAAGTAGGGTTCAAAATACTATCAATACAGAGTAAGGTTCAAAATTACATAATGACAATTCCTGCATAATCCTTAATGTATGAAAAATATCATAGGTGCAAAGGATGACTAATTCAACCTCAGGGCCTCTAAGCACACAGTAAGGAAGTTGAAACCAGCTCCTGAAATCACAAACTCACCATCTCTGAAAATCTTATTCTTTAGGCTAATAAAGCACAAAGATAACAAACTTAATAAACTGGCATCTCTTATTTGTTGCACCCAAATAAGCTACACTGATGTCTGTGAGAAGGCAGGCAGGCCCAAACATACAGCTCTTTTCTTAATTTTATTCTTATGTTGACCCCAAGACCCCCAAATATTTGACCAGGAGTCAGACTGAGTTGATGAAGATTATGCCCTATAAGAACATTTCATTTTACCATTACCCTTAATTCATGTAAATTGTTATTGCCATGGTTTAAGCCCAGCCAGTAATTCAGAATTGCGCAGCTGCTCGCTCACTCCCCACCTTTCCCCTCCTGCTCCAGGCAGGTTGGAAAGGAGAATCGAAAGAATGTAAACCACATGGGTTGAGATAAGAACAGTCCAATCACTAAAGTATAATATAAAGCTACTACTAATAATAATAATTATAAAGGAAGTAACAAGGGGAGAGAATATAAAACTAAAAAGGGAAAGGAAAAAAAACCCAAAACTAATAAACACAAGTGATACACAATACAATTGCTCACCACCTGCCAACCAATACCCTGCCTGACTCAAGCAGCAATCTGAGCCTTCGGGGTGACTCCTCTCAGTTTATATACTAGGCATGATGTTCTGTGGTATGGCATACCCCTTTGGCTACTTTGGGTCAGGTGTCGTGTCTCTGCTTCCTCCCAGTTTCTTGTGCCCCTCCTCACTGGCTGAGCAAGAGAGGCTGCAAAGTCCTTGATCAGAGTAAGCATTACTTAGCAACAACTAGAACATTGGTGTGTTATTAACATTGTTCCCAAACTAAACCCAAAACACAGCACTGCACCAGCTATTAGGAAGGAGGAAAATAACTGTCACAGCTGAACCCAGGACACTTACTTATTTGTCTAGCCAGAAATTTAATTTCCCCAGTAGTATTTTGTGTATTTAAATGATGGCTAAACAAGCTTTACACAGTTTAGAGTTACGCTACAGTGCCTGCTAGTTTATTACAAGGTTATTACCTGGCCTCCATATGCATTTGGCTGAAGGTGCAACCCCACAATAAAGGCCTTCATGCCACTTTCCAAAAAGGCGATGAACCACCTTCCCCTCTTGATCTATCACAACACCCTGGACCTCATTTACATTTGAATTCCAGTAGTTCACCTGCAAATTTAAGAACAAATCACTAGTTAACACTGGTTTTTGCATTACCCATTGTACCAGTACAGATACTGCACAAATCTTAATTGTGTGGCACTTACTGTACTGGAACAGCGCACCTGGAAGCAAGAATATCAGAACTCAAAATTCAGATGATCTGAATATGAACTGATCTAGTGTATGGGAAACCCTGAATAATTTGAAATATGGCTTTCATATAACTTGGGGACTATACTGTTGTTCATCAACCCAAATCAAATCCCATGCAATTCAGCAAAAATGACACTTTGAAAGTGCAAGATCACAGCCATCTTCTTTCTATATGGAGAAATACTGAATATACCTGTACATGTAAAGGAATCTTTTGATTGATGCTGCATACTGATGGGTGAAGCAGGGAACATGTTCAGCTGGTATTATTTGTTCTTTGTTGCCTTCTGTTTCTCTTTTCTTAGACATACTTACTCCTTCCACCTTCACCTACTGAGCCAGCTGCCCATTCTCAGAATATCCATCAAGACTTGAATTTCAGATTTACAGTAATGCACAGTAACTGCAATGGTATTGATGTATTTCATTGCAATATGAAGACAAACTTATTTTTAGAGAAAATACTTGATAGTGACATAGCTATATAGCGGTCTGGTTTTATATATGCTCCTTGCCTGGATCTTAAAATATTGTGAACCAAAGCAGCATTATTTAATGTAAAGAGATAAAATATTGACTTCCAAATTCTAGTAAAGGCAGAAGTAAAATGGCACAGAAGTCTACAGTGACATTGCATTTCATTGCAGTAACAGAAAAGAAACTTTGACATTCGATTTTTAACGCAAAACCAACAACAGTATAGCACACAGCTATACAGCAATGCAACACTCACATCAAATGGTATCAAATGTTCAACGGAATAGAGTCAGGCTACTTGACATAACACTCCCATTTGCAATTTACATACTTACAAATGTTGATAAAACAAAATGTGGAATGTGAATTTCAGGAATACTGAAGAAACAACTTGATAAACGCTTGAACTATGTAGTTTTATGAATATATGATATGTATTAGAATACATATGTTACCTTGACAAACGTAAGTTTACAAATACAAATGCTGCTTTTTGTGTTTCTGATAGTTATCTCTCCATAGTGTTCTATCCACCTCCTTCCACTAAGAATATTATGTATGCAAGTAGTGACTTTGTTCCAGACATAGTAGTCGCCATACCTAAGAACAGATAAACAAGTAGTTGATAACATACATTAATCATAATCATTATGGACACACAAGAAAAGTAAAACATAACTCCATTATCATAAATACAAAACCATGTTCCTCAAAGACTTTTGAAACAAGAGCTTACTTTAATAAAGCACTGGTTCTCAGTACATTACTAATCGTCCTTAGAGAATGTCACTTAAGCTATAGAGCAGAGAACTGAAGAATGCTGCTATGAGCCACAAATCAAGACATTATGAACCACTGAACCCCTGCATGGCATATTCACTGTGCTCAGAGCATTAAGTGCTTTGGCCATAATTCCTTCAGGGGCAGGACAGTGCTCAAAGGTCAACATAAGGCTGAATTGAAGCTATTAAGCACACAATGCAATTAAATTACAAGTAGAACAAAATAATATGGAAAGGAGATAACAGAAAGGAAGAAGGAAGCCGGAGCTCACTAGAACATCATTTCTTTCCTTCTGTAACAACTACAGAGTCAGAGCATCTCTCTTGTCAAACACGGGAATAAACTGAGAGAATTTGCGAAGTACATCCTCCTTCAGAGCTGAGGGGCAAGCATGAAGACAGAAGACAAAGATGCTCCTGAGTGCATTTACTTCAATTTCATGAAATCAATAAAGAGGCAAAGTGGAGTGATTCCATACTGGTAGAAGCAGAAAGAAAGGCTGGCTGCTACATACAGGAGCAGGAATACTACTGCAAAAACAGCAGACATGTTCAAAATATCCTCTCCTTGCATATACTCAGCATTTACAACTTGCAACTCGTCTTACTGGCGGTGAAACAACTCTTAACTACTCTGTCAACATCTGAAGAATCTGTTTGGGCTTACCTGCATTTTGAAAACTGGCCTTACATTGTTACTACTGGTTGTTCTGAGTGAACATTTCTCAGTATTGAGAGCAGCAGCAGTTGCTGACAGTCCTACATTGCAGCCTTGTTCTGAACAGTTGTATCATTACCGTACTTGTAAAACTTGGGTTCTCTCTCCTAAAACATTTCCATCCCCTTTCTGTTGCATTTGAGAGAGTTTGTATATTTTTCCTCAAAAAAATCAAATGGATCTTTAAGCTCAAAAACACTTGTGTATCCCCATCTGTACACTAAGGAGAAACCTGAGCTAGCCAGTGACTTTCACCAGTACAATTCACTGATGTCTGCGTACACTTCCCCCAGTCCATTCACAAGGCAGCAAAGACTGAAATCAAAAGGAAACAGGACAGTAGCTTACTTTGGAAGAGTCACATTCAAGGTTCCAACTGGCAGAATCTCCATTGATTTCCCCCAGAATTTGTTTTTCCATCTGATATCTGAATGTAATTTACAAATGTGAAAGAAAGATTTACAAAAACTGAAAAGATCAAACCCTCCCCGTTGCAGTGATCTGCACAAGTGGCACATGAGATACCTGTGCTAGACCACCCAGTTTAAAACATGACAGTATGAGATTGCCACAAAAACACAGAAGGAACAACAACAACAAAAAAAAAAGTAGAAAATGACATTAGGTCAGAACAACTAAAAAGAAGTTTGTTCTTCTAGAAGTCATGCCTGTGTTACACAACTGTGTCAACTCTCTCATGAAAATATTGTATTCAAATTAAAGACATATGCTAGTAGATACAAAGAAAGAAATAGCTGCTTGTTCAACTGTGTAAAAGGAACTGCTTGTGTTTGTAAGAAATAATAATTTTGTTGGTAAGAAGCTTTTAAATGGAGAAGTATAAACAGATTGCAAGTGACAAGGGAAGTTGTAACACGTCTGCTCACTCTTAAAAATAAGAATTTGAAGTGAAATAATTCAGAGCACCAGTTTGCAAAATGTTACTACAAAAATAAGTATAGAAATTTTGAGTAAGTTCCAAATGGAAAACTCAGCTTTTACAGACAAAGTTTTTATTTGCTAATAAAAAAGGAGTTTATGCTTTTGAATTAAAAAGTATACCTTGCCAAAACACAAAGTTCTTCGATTCACAGTGACAGGCTGAAATGGGAGGATGGTGGCTAACCTGGAAAACAGTTAGGTTGAGTTGAAAAAAAAAAATTTCATTTTTAAGACAATGCAATTGAACTGTAATATGACAATACTAAACATCCCACACCATTTCTTAGCATATGTTGCTATGAAAACAGATGCAACTTGAGTTTGTACTTAAAACACTATGAACTTAAAACACTTCCTTGTGATTCCTACAGAAAATTATACTGCCTAGTATTTAAAGAATTTCTATCATAATAAACTTTCTTTGCTACCAAGAAAGCAAACCATTCTAATTGGACAGAAAAAAGAACCAAAATCTAAATCTAAACAGGTCTATCTAAAAACAAGCTTTACCTGCTCTGAGAAAAATCGAAATCCTTTGTCTTCTCTAATACATTCGTAAGTTTCACCAAGCACTGGGTTAAATGGCTTGCTTCCTGCTCTGAAGTATGTAGAGGCATAGCCTGATGCTGCAAAAGCAGCTATGAGAACCTGTGAAAATACGGAAAAGAAGGTGAAAACAGACAGAGATTCTTGTGTCTGTGCCATCACTATGTGGAATCACACAACTCACTCCACTCAGAGTGAAATCTGGATTAATGAAGCATGCCTGAGAGTAAAGCCATACATCCCGGCCAGAACTAGTATAAACTGCATTTCTTTTGTTGATATAATTTGCTTTTTCTTCATGGCCTCGGTCAGCCTCTTTCAACAGTCCCTTAAAATAACAATCTGCACAAGATACTGTTTTTCTGCCTTTGATCAGGTTTATGGACAATGACCTAAACTACAAACCCAGCTCTAGTCTATGCTCCCCATGAGTAAGTACTATATAATGACTTCTAATGACAAGATCACATACCATTCTCCTATGGGAACTATTTTATGTAGTGCCAAACATAAATAGTTCTCACTTAGAATGCCCTTAATGCAGAGTTATCTCAGATGGGCGGCCTCATCAGCCCCCTTTGTCTACACGTATGACCAAAATTTTGTAATCTCTAAACCAGGTCCAGCTGGGAGTAATAAATTAAGTGACATGCCACTGTAATTTAGATTACAGCTCCCTTTAGCAGAGTTTTTAAAAAGATATCACAATAGGCATTCACAAGTCTCAACAAAACTTCAGAAAAGCAATATAGGAATAAAAAGCACTCAGCTATGGATAATCTGCTAACAGCTGGGTGAAACTTAACCAAGTCCCCCTCTCCTCATGCTACCAAGGACGTAACACTCATGTGAGTTTTTACATGCTTTGCTTTCTTCCCACTGTATAATGGGTGTTCCATTTTCTATTCATTTCATATTATTCATAAATATCAACAGAATTAACACTCTTTTCTTCAACAGTAAAACTTTCATTCATCCAGCCTTTTTTTCATAAATTTAACTATAAGAGACAACAGAGAAATGAGGGGTTTTACTATCCTTAGGATATGTAGAGCAATGAGAAGGAAAAAGTTTCCACTGCTTTTGTATGCTTCTTTAAGATAGCTAAGTCTGGATTTTTCAGAGAACAGTGAAGAAGCAGCTACATATTCACAGCATTGCTACCAAGCTTTGGATATTCAGCACTTCTGCCTGGTAAAAATTTCTGTGCAATTCGCATTTTTAAGGTGCTTGTTACAAGTTTGGCTTGTATCCCAGGTGTTGCACTAAAGATGTGCAGCAGAGAAGTGGACTTAAGGCCCTTTCCAGCCCTAACTATTCTATGACTCTATGAATCTACGTTTCCAAGGAAGATTTAAGTTGCACCGTGTTTTTTCCTTCCTGAACTCTCCTGACTTCTCCAACAGTCACCTTCCAAGCTGTTCAACAGAGGCAGAGTCCTACAAGCAGTCTGATTTATTCATTATAACTCTGCCCAGTCCTTACAGGATCTTCCTTTTGTGAGGGACATAAGAAATCTTATAGGAAAACAGCATGTGATGATAATAATTCAACCCCCTATCATAAGACTGATCTCCAACTTCTCCAGTGGCAAGGAAAAAATACCAGTGTTTAGGACCCCACACTCTCTTGCAGGCCACATACAGTTCATGGACCTGACTGTGTGATGAGATGACAGCCAAAGGCAACCTCTCTTCTCCCAGTTATCTACAATGCTACCAACCCATACTAGAGGACAATAGTTCAGCACCAACACTACCAAACTTGTCCTAACAGCCTTTTCCTTGTTTCTTCTGAGCAAAAGGAGAAATGACAGATCGAAACACCCTGAGAGCTGAACATAAGATGTGGACTGTCAGTTAAAAAACCAAGACATACTTACAGGGGAGCTGAAGTCAGGCTGCCGAGGCAAACTTTGTTTTGGTGTTTTGAAACTTCTCTATTAGAAATTGCCTATGATGACATCTTATTGATAATAAGATTGACCATTGATCATAAGCCAGCCACAGACTCGATTAGCTCTTGGAGGCTGTTGGACTTGATCACTGAAAGCCAGGAAAGGATGCTGCAGGGTTAAAAACTGCCAGTGTCTACATACACAATTCCAGAGAGTGAGATCAGTTTTCATATCAATGAGTCACAATTGCAGGACTTGGTCTGAAGACAAGAAAAGTCCCTCTGCCTTACTCGGATCAAACCTACTACCTGCAATTGTTCACAACATTTGCCTGACCCAACACGGAAAAGCAAGAGAGGTCCCTGCACAGACCTCCACTCAACAGCTCCCATTTTAATACAGACATAAGAAGTGATAAACTAAATTTATTACCATGCGTTCATAAGGATCATCTGTTTCAGCAGCCTTGTCCAAAAGTTCGCTGTATTCCAGCTCTTCACAAAGATGTTGCAAGGTATTCAGAGGTTCATTTAGCTCAACAGGCATAGATACTTTGGAAAGATCTTTGCCAATGTTATTTCTCAAAATATTCCACAGATTGATGTTACTGGTGTCAGGGCTGGGAGCTGGGAGACAAGTTCTCCGTCCGTTCCTGAATGCACCTCCTGTCAACTCACCATTAAGAACTGGGAAGGGAAAAAAACCTATTATCACACTATATTAAAAAGCATCAGATAAAGAAAAACAGACTTAGCCACTGAACCTAATCACTGCCAGAACAAGCATGCCCAGCTTCACTGATTTCAGCTATGTTGGTCTTGTTACTGACATGCAGTAAATCTGGTATATGAACATAACCAACATAATTCCCAAAGGTTAAAACATAACATATACTTTGCCGAGAAATGTTGTCTGCAACACTGGTGTTGTCCTCAGATATATTATCACTCACATCACTGATGTAAGATTCATCATCAGAAGCCTACAACATAAGGAAAACATCAATTCAGACAAATACATATAAAATACAGTGACAAAGTAGGCAAAAATAATTAACTGAAACACAAATATTCAAAGAAATCATCTCTACCCAATTAGAGCTTTTTACTAAATCAACTGGGAGTTTCAATTGGCCCATACTGACAATGCGCTAAAAGCATCAAAACAAATGCTATGCTCTCCCTGTTTCTGAATTCCTTACTATGAAGCTAAATACAGACACTAACTTTACAAAACAGTGACTTCAAACAAGATCAGAGAGGAACAAAAGACTGAAAATGCAATGTGTTAGGGATGGGAAGTGGAGTCAGATTTGTGCTCTTTATAAAGAGTCTAACAACAAAACACAGCTTGTGTTTAAGCAAAAAATATACATAAACATTGACCCATCATTTTGCAAAATAAGAACTACATCAATGTTATGACTATTTTTAAGATTCTTTCTTCTTTTCCCCAAAAATATTACTTTCAAAATATTTTACGGTATTTACTCATGACAGAGTATTTATTATAAGGCCTATACCATTTGGGAGTGATTTTGTAAAGTTTCCATTTTATTTATACTATACAGGCACACCAATTTTCCATGCTGATATAAACAATCCAGACTATTGAGATAAAAGGTACTTGACAGAAATATTGCTGCCAGAAGCAGTAAGATAAGGAAACATTCCATTCTCTAGATGAACAATTCCGCTCATGGTTGTACCAACTCGTGGCAGGTGAGCAATCCTTGTCAACGAGAAAATATTGTGGCACATTCTTACTTACTTTTAAGGAAGAGTCGTGGCAGACCACAGCACTACTGTGGCTTTATAAAAGGTATTTTCAAAAACTAAATACATTTTTTATATTGAAGAATTTATTCAGGCTATCACAGGAAAGCTGTGGACAGCAACACGATTCAGGAGCCTGAACTGCATCTGACTGCTTCAACTTTGAGCATGAGTGAGCGAATTTTTCAGGCTTTTGCCTATTTGTCTGATTACAGAGAATAACTTTATATGTCTACTAGAAGACCTTTTTTTTTAAGAATATTTTAAAATCTAAATTAGTTGACTCCGTAGTCAGATATAACTGCTCCTGTTTATGTCATCCTTATCTGAAATTGGCATAGTCTAGCAAGGGCATGTACTGAACATAAGCTACTGGTACAAGCAGCTTTCAACTCAGTTTTACACTTCAGGGAACTTCTGCACCCCATCACAAAGGAGTCTCAAGTTCATTTATCTACACCTTACATACCTTTTTATTCTAAGGTCCATTATTAAAGAGAAAAGAAAAATCATTCATGAGTTGTAGCAATACCTAAATCTGTCCAACAGCAAAACTGCAGCATGCTGCCATAGCCTACCTCGTTTTCTGATGAGCTGGCAGATAAAAGCACTTCCTGTGCATCAAAGAACTCTGAAACAGATTCAGACATAGAGAGCCTGCTCTCATTAGAAACTTGCTGAGACAGTGGCAAACTGACATGAATTTGTTCACCTGTCTGTAAATAAAGCATAGAAAAATAAAATTATTATTTCTAAAATAAAAGAAATATACAAAGATGGGGTAAATAATCTGAGCAATTTTTCTATGCCAAATATAAGCATGGATAGTAAAGAGAGAATTTTGGCAGGGCTTTGTGTGTACCTAACAGATGAGACTTTGACAATTACAAAATAAAGTGCACTTTGAGCATCAAGATACATCTTTTAATTTGAGGCCTGCTCAGCATCAACTCCTAAGTTGCAGCAGTATGAATAACCACAGATCTAGTTCTGCATCCACAGACTAGTTCAACCATGAAATTCAGATGAAAAGACACCTGGTTGTAATAAACTACATCTCTCAGAGCCAGCTTTGATACAACCAAAACTCAAATATAAAGCTTTATAGGTCAGGGAGTTACTTGCAAAATAAATGCACTTCTGAACCAGTTTAGTAACAAATGCTTGAAATGTTTGAATATTCAGGAGAATTACTATAATATTTATTTATGTGCTTTTATTCCATGTTTGTACTCCAAATCTCATTTGAATTATGCCAGTAATGGGGACTCAATGCTACTAAAGGGAATGAAATCTTTATGGTTTTAAATTATGGTTTATTATAAAGAGAATTTAACAGCAACATAAGGGTTCAAAATTGTGTCGTGTATACCAATTGAGGGCAAGATAATTTAAATAGTGGAACATATCTTCCTTTCCATGCTATTGATGGGAGGGACATCAGGTTTCAATGACATCCTTGTCTCTAAATTGGAGAGACATCAATTTGATGGATGGACCACTTGGTGGATAAAGAACTGGCTGGATGGCTGCATGCAAAGAGTTGTGGTCAATGGCTCAATGTCCGGCTAGAGACCAGTAACGAGTGGCGTCCCTCAGGGACCCGTGTTGGGACCGGTCTTGTTCAACAACTTTGTCGCTGACATGGACAGTGGGATTGAGTGTGCCCTCAGCAAGTTTGCCGATGACACCAAGCTGTGAGGTGGGCTGATGCCAACCTCATGAGGTTTAACCATGCCAAGTGCAAGGTCCTACACCTGGGTCAGAACAATCCCAGGCACAGCTACAGGTTGGGCAGAGAAGAGATTCAGAGCAGCCCTGTGGAGAAGGACTTGGGGGTGTTGGTTGATGAGAAAATGAACATGAGCCGGCTTCAGTGTGCGCTTGCAGCCCAGAAAGCCAACCGTATCCTGGGCTGCCTCAAAAGGAGCGTGACCAGCAGGTCAAAGGAGGTGATCCTGCCCCTCTACTCTGCTCTTGTGAGACCTCACCTGGAGTATTGTGTGCAGTTCTGGTGTCCTCAACATAAAAAGGACATGGAACTGTTGGAACAAGTCCAGAGGAGGGCCACAAGGATGATCAGGGGACTGGAGAACCTCCCATATGAAGATAGGCTGAGAAAGTTGGGGCTGTTCAGGCTGGAGAAGAGAAGGCTGCGTGGAGACCTCATAGCAGCCTTCCAGTATCTGAAGGGGGACTATAGGGATGCTGGGGAGGGACTCTTCATTAGGGACTGTAGTGATAGGACAAGGGGTAATGGGTTAAAACTTAAACAGGGGAAGTTTAGATTGGATATAAGGAGGAAATTATTTCCTGTTAGGGTGGTGAGGCACTGGAATAGGTTGCCCAGGGAGGTTGTGAATGCTCCATCCCTGGCAGTGTTCAGGACCAGGTTGGACGAGGATTTGGGTGACATGGTTTAGTGTGATGTGTCCCTGCCTATGGCAGGGGGGTTGGAACTAGATGATCTTAAGATCCTTTCCAACCCTAACTATTCTATGATTCTATGTTACCCTACAGGCTATTGCTTTAAGAAGGAAGGGGGAAAAAATTAAGTTTTTCTCCCTGTACCATTCCACCAAAGGAACTACTGCTGTGGAGTGAAACAGGTTTTTGTCTTAATCCCTCAATTTATACAGCATGTTGCTTTGGGGGATAACACAGATGAAACTACTGAAGTCCTCTTAAACACAGTTAACTTCAGATTGCAACCCAATCCTCATTAATCTTACTACAGAAGTCCTGCAAATGGTTTTCTTGACATCTTAATCCTGTAGAATTATGCTCTACGAAGTTGCCTCACCATGCACTAATAAAAAAAAATAATAATAAAAAAATTCATAAACAAGCCAAGAGGTCAAAAACCATTCCATTTTCACTGGGTCTTATAGGCTTGGAGACAGTTTATGCTGTTTGATGAATTATAACAGAAATAGAAACTCATTTCGCTGTTATCTTTACAGGAAGTGATTAAAATTTTAAGGTTTTTAGAGAGACTTGGAAAAATACATATGCCCCTACCTGAAAAAGTTGCTCACACAGGCATTATCTGCACACTGCAAGATTATATATATATATAAAAGCAATCAAGAGAAAAAGTGGATGAGAAAGCTGAGAACTTCTTTGAGAAACACCTTCAGTGAGACATATTGCACTAAGATAAAGATGTACATGTGAAAAAGAAACAGCTTACAAAAAAAAAATAGAATTGATGCTCAGGACTTCACTGCAGATCACTGTCTGTGCTGTGGCACTGCTTCACCTCTGTCTGTTGATAGCCTCCAACATGCTGGACTCTTGAAAAATTGGTTGGATATTTTCAAAAAGCAAACAAACAAAAGTAATTTGAAATGCATTTTCACCTTCCTTTCTTGATGGAAGAGATAATTAGGAGACAAGAGTATGTTAACTGAAGTGGCATATGCATAGAAAAGAATCAGTGGAAATGACAAATGAAAAATATTTTGGCAAAATGCAAGCAGAATGGTTGTCAAAGTGACCACATTAATTGTAACATATTACAGCTCAGAAACTCAATTCCTCATGAAAGAAGCTGACTTGTTATTGATAGAAATGTTTGGTAATCTGTTGACTGAAGGAAGCAAAACGAGAAAGACTAAGCGTTGCACATATGAGATTAGTATAGTGCTTGGTTTATAGAATCATAGAATCATAGAATAGTTAGGGTTGGAAAGGACCTTAAGATCATCTAGTTCCAACACCCCTGCCATGGGCAGGGACACATTACGGTAAATCATATCACCCAAGGCCTCGTCCAACCTGGTCTTGAACACTGCCAGGGATGGAGGATTCACAACCTCCCTGGGCAACCCATTACAGTGCCTCACCAGCCTAACAGGAAATAATTTCCTCCTTATATCCAATCTAAACTTCCCCTGTTTAAGTTTTAACCCGTTACCCCTTGTCCTATCACTACAGTCTCTAATGAAGAGTCCCTCTCCAGCATCCCTATAGGCCCCCATAGTCTGAGCCTTTTGATTTCAGCAGTGCCACCCCAAATATTAAGTATTAGGCCCTTTAAGCACTTGCCAGCTCAGGCCATTAAGTACTAAATTGCTCTGTTGATTTGGCAAGAAACTAAGACACAGAATTGGATAGCTACATTTGAATGTGTGTCACATTCAAATACAATAACAACTCACTAATTCACACAGCCAACAATTAATATTCCAAAAGTGGAGTCCTTCCCTGTTTCTCAGAGACCAAACTGAGTTCTTTCATTAGGTAGGACAGACGTTTTATTTTATATAGTGAAAATATAATCCTATTTTTTCTTTAAATAAACACTTGCCAAGCTGAAAAAAATCTGTAATTTGCCAAGTGTGTTTCAGCTATTAGTGAGAATTAGCAAAGTTTGCTTGTACTATAATCCATTAAAGGCCAAAATCTTACCTCATCAGGACTAGGGATAATATTTACACTGACAACCTGATCACAAATAACAGATTCTGAATGTATTCTGTTCAAGCGACTCCTTAGTTCAGCATTCTGGTTGAGAGCCTTAAAATAAAAATTACATATTTCATTTAAAATTAAAAAGTGTTAGGGAAAAAAAAATAGAAAAAAAGTAGCTTCTTCCCTCAATTTCCTAAGAAATCACTGATTCTCTTTTCTTCCGTATTTAGAGAGATACTTAGAGATACTCTCTAACATGATTTAATCATTTGGTTGGTTTGCCTTCAGTGATTTTTAGGAGGCAGGAGGGACAGACATTCTCCCACGGTTTTGTAATGGCATCAGGTAGCTCTTTGGCAGGTATACTGGTGGGTTATGTACATTATGGAAATGGGGACTGAATGCAGTAAGAAAGAATGAAACTGCAGAACAACAGGAACTACTGGCAAAATGCCCAAAGAGGCATTTGGTTTAGTTTGGTCTACAAATTCTTGGTTTACAGCTATACAGCTTTTTCTGAAACAAGGTTATCAGTCCTTAAAGCCTGCCAAGGGAATTGCTTTGTTTCCAGCAAAACCAACATAATTCACCAGTATCACTGGGTGTTTACACATCCATATCAATTTTATATATTTGCATGTGTGTACTTATTTCAAATTACTGATCTATTAGTGTCATAAATACCAACAGAATCAAATGGTATCTGGCATCTGCTGATCCTTTTTTAAAGCCTGACCTAGATTAAAGATTTGGGTGCACATATGCATATTGTCTACAATCCAGAAAGACTCGTGCAAGATTCTGAAATCCAGAAGAAGTATAATATGTTACATACCTAGAACATAAACTGATTTAACCTTATCCCCAACACTGTGGATTATAGAAATGAACAAAAGACAAACATATAGTTTTAGTAGAAAGCGACTGTTGTAACAGAGCAAGACTCTTCTGCCTCACACTAGGGCAGCCTCAGGAATAGATTGCATGAACGTACTGAAATAAAATAGGACCAAAGTAAAATAGGCTAGCTTAAACTGTCACTAAACAGTTTAAATTACCCCATTTTGCTTTGTTCTGAAATAGTTTGGGCATGTTTATAGTAGCCATCTACCAGGAAGGGAAAATGATGATTAACAGCAGCCTGGCTTCCTTAACTGCTCAAATCTGCTCACGAGACTGGTCAAACCCAACCATCTGAACAAGGTCAAATTTCCACTTATTCCTCACTGAGACTATGAAGTAATGTGTGACGGTGACTTTTAGACTGACACTGATGGCCAGGAACAAGAGGAAAATAAGATCACCTATTTCAAACAAGTTAGCAATAAGTCTCTACAGGTCTTAGTTAAATTAGCATCAATAACCATAAATGTTACTCTTGTCTCTTGTCTTTAACCTTTCTTTATTACAACACAAAGTAATCAATCTGTGTAACATAATATGCATCTTTACCTACAGAAACATTATGCATCAATTTTAATCTCATAGCAAAAACCTCCAACCCAATAACAGTGCATGAAATTGTATACAGATTTGAGTGAAGTTGTTTGCCTTTAAACCTCTGCTCACATTTCTTGCAGATGCAGTACTCCACATCAATCCATTCTTCTGAGTGGCTTTTTTTTTTCCTTAACAATGAATTAAAAAAATTATTTTGCAACCTGAAGATTTACTGTCACTTTAGCTCTTCTTCCCCACTAAAGTCAATAACAATTCCTCTGGCTTAAGTGGGAGAGATGCTGGACAGTAACAGGTATGTACCTGAAAACCCAATTTACTCAAGATTCCTTTTTCAGTTAGAGACATAGACATATAAAACAAAGATGAATACAGTCAAAATTTAAAAATTAAGAAAATAGAATATCTCCTTGGCTGTGCTGGAAACAGCTCCAGGAGAGATATCTAGCATTTGTATAAAAAAATTTGATCCTATCTCTTTACTCTGAAAAGACATAACAGACACACGCTTACACAAACAAATGATATCCTTCACCTCCACATGCACCGAGGTTAGACCTATGCCATAATAGAACACAGATCAAAGTTCTAGTCAAGAATCTGGCTTTTTCTGTGCTCCTTTCACCTCTGAAAATGCCCAAAGTACAAAAGAAATAGTGCATCTGTCAACCTAGACATGCTTGAAATTAAATCAAGAACATACCTGAGAGAGGGACTGTCTGAGGTGTGCTACTTGAGCATTGTGTCCTGTAAGATCTTGCTCTGAAACAATCTGCTTAAGCTTCTCCTTCTCTATAGCTATGCTGTTAAAGGCAGACTTCAAAAGAGAATGCACTAAGAAAAAAGAAAACAAATGTTTTCTCAGCTATAGAACTGCACATGACATCTATTACAATATTTCAGCAGTAAAGACAGATATAGAGATTTCCAACCCACAATTGCAGAAATTTGAAACTAGGACTGCATTTCAAGTAATCTATGCCAAATAATCACTTACAGCTTGAGTTTGTAATGTGCATGCTATATATTCACATACATCATCTGAGCACACTCTTGGTACTGAACATATGGAAAGGTGTATATGTGGAAAGCCTGTGTCCAGTGTGTGATTCTTTCTTTCTGGTTGTTTGTTTGTTTTTTTTTTCAGAAAAACAAACAAAACAAAACAAAACAAAAATCCCCAAAACCCCAGTTTTGCTAAGGCTTAATATTGCATTAATAAAGAGGATTACTTTCTTTAAACAGGTTTTTGACATTTTTAAAGATATCACTCACATGCTTTTTCCTGCACTTGTTCTATAACAGATAGAAAACTGATAACAAACCCTTTTAAAAATAGTATTTTTCAGTCTGTATGACCATTCATGTATTGGCAATAAAATGGCATTTCTAAAGTACATTCTAGTAATATGCTCTTCTGTTGCTTCCACTGACATAGAAAACATTGCATAAAAATGAACTACACAACATTATATATAGCAGTGACATCCTGATTCAACTCTAGGGAGAAATAAAGCATTTTATTGAGAAAATGTTTGCAAATTCAGTCATATATTTACAAGATGCATAAAGTAGTTCACAAGACTCTTATCATACTGAGTTTATTTACCTCCAGATTCATGACACCCATGGACAGAATGATAATTCATGTTGCCTGTGTAAACCACCTGACCAGCTAAAAATTCTTCCACAATATCATCTAATGCACATGAATGCCCTAGCCATAACTAAATGAAAGTAATAAAGAAACACAACAGAGAAGCACAATAAAAGAAAGGCTTAATATTTTCAGTTACCTTTTTGTGCCATCAGGCAGAATTCTTCCTGAAGCTTCATGTACTCAGCAGAGCACCCCAGAGGGTCCGCTACATGGCTTGGGGGAGTCTGAAACTCAATGTCTGCACAAAGGTTGGGATTGGATGAATGCAGTCGAACAGGTGACATTGTAGCACTGAACGGAACCTACAGTGAGAAACAGTGAAGAAATATTGTATAAGGTGCAATCAACCTTTTGACTCTGTTGAAACAGAATACAAATTTCTTCTGAAAAGATTTAGTTCATAATGTGAAGAACATGGTAAGAGTGAACAGGTAACATTCTACTGTGCTAAATCTCAGCTCAGCTGATGCAGAATCTCCTGCAAATTTTCAGTGAAACAGACAAAAGAAGGCCTAAATACATAGCTAACAGCTAGGAATGGAGCATCTCAACTCCATTACAAAAATGGACCATTTCCTAATACATAAAAGATGATTGGAAAATAGAACCACAACACATGCTGCTTTATATTTGGACATTTGAGAGTACATGTAGTATGACTCTGTTGTTACAATACCAACATTTGAAGTACGCAAGTTCCTCCACAGATCTATAAATAAGCCATACAATTACGAAATCTATCACTGAAGTATTTCAAAACTACTGCTAAATCCTGAGTTGAAACTAACTGTATTGGCAACTATAAAGAGGGAAAATAGCTAAAAAAAACAAACCACAACCAACAAAAAAAAAAATAAAAAAGTCCACCTGATTTTCATTTAAAGTACATGAACCATATAAATGTAAAGACAAACAGTTTAGTAAGATCCAACAAAGAATTTACTTCATTATCATTTCCACCTTTCTTTCTCCTTCTATACTTTTCAGGTAATAAAAATGCACATGCAAATCTTTATAAATTATATACATGCATCATATATACTGAACAGTTTACTTATATGCTACATATGCAGTGTATGGCTACCACTGGTATATATGTAATGTGTATATGTAAGCGTATATTTTATTTTGTTTTAATTTTACCATTTACATACATTTGTATAAATATCAGGCCAAGAACCCAATTTTCAAATTTGAATGCAAAGGACAGGCAGGTAGAACTACACTTTATTACTTAAATATTAAGCACTGTTAAACATATTGAACACATTAATTTATCTCATTATATTTATCAAATGTATAAATCAAGAATCTCTACACTGCAGCCCAATGAAATTTTTCAATATGAAAAATGGGGCCAAAGTATAAAATGTGTCTTCCAAGGCATGATAAAGAGCAGCAGATAACATAAAAAGTCATATTACTAAGAATTTTTATCAACAGATAAGTTCTATACTACCATCAATATTTGAAATTGGTACCTTATTATTTGATTAGATCAGTGAATGGCTTTATCAATCCCTTCCTGTAAAAGTTTTCATCAATACACATTTTAGATTTCTGACTCCCCAGTGTAAACCTCAAAATCCTGTTGTATCTATTCATCACATATCATTGCACTTATGAACATATTCCACAAAATACCATTTTCCATCCTGTTCTTCCTCAATTTCCAGATACATTTAGCACATAAAACTACAGGTCTGTGGAACCTATGCAGTATAAACTTTATTTTCTTCTCTCACATATTCTGAGTTCAAGCTATATCGACAAAGTATTCTTCTTTTTTTTTTTTTTATTGGACATTATTTTGGCCTCATATGAAAAAGACTTCATTAGCAGGAGATGTAGAACAAATTCCTTTCATTCATACTAGGTATTTACCCCATAATCTTTGCAAGTACCAGACTGCCCTTCTCAACAGCCCCCCAAAACTAGGTTAATCAACTAATGTGACAAATTTATGTTCATTTCAAGTCTCCTTTACAAAACTTCCCACTTCTTAAGTTGGAGGGCATGTTCCCAGAACTTTCTGACAAGGAGTCAGAAAGGACTGAAAAGGTTCAATGGCTCCAGGAGGGCAGAGTAGATGGCTACATGATAGCTGGGGGAGGAGGAGCAGCACCTACCCAATGCTGAAGCCAATACAGAAAGCAGGAAAGAAGCCGATCCCAGCTATAATGTAGAAGCTTGAGGGAGAGTCCCTGCAGCCCCACATGCCTATGGTGATCATAGAATCATAGAAAGGTTTGGGTTGAAATGACCTTAAAGATCTTCTAGTTCTAACCCCCTGCCACATGCAGGGACACCTTTCACTAGACCAAGTTGCTCAAAACCCCATCCAGCCTGTCCTTGAACACTTCCAGGGATGAGGCAGCCACAGCTTCTCTGGGCAGGTTGCCCCAGCGGCTGCCCCACATAGACTAGCAGAGCTGCAGGGTGCTCACACATGGGAAGGTGGGGAGCAAGGGTGACAGCTCTCTTTAGATCCACAATTTTGGCCTCAAACCTCAGCCGGCCAGGCTGAAAAGCAATGTTTCCATAGTGAGACCTATTGGAAAATAACCTTTTAAAGTATGACCAAGAAACAGCATTTACATGTTCTACAAATACTGTCACACTGCTTGCAAAAAATACACATCCACATGACAGAGACAAGTAGCTGCTTTGCTGACTGCTTTAAATACAAGAACCAAAAATACCAAACTGTTGACCAACAATGAGCTCTCCTCATATGCATCTTTTAGAAAAGTTTCCAAGCTACTTTCCAAAACAGATGAAAAAATCAACATTGAACAAACTCTTTACTTCTCTTGAATAGGCAGAAGTCCCAGAAACACTGCCAACATATTTCACTTCCCCTTTTTTCATTTCACTGCTGTGCTTTATATCTGTATCTATATCTATGGCTACCTGCTTCTGACTTTACTACCAGACTGTTCCCAGTAGAGTGGGTTGTAAGGAAAACCTCCTCTTTCTGCCATGCAGTTAACTGATGTAATTCTGCACCACTCAGTCTACACACACAACTTCACTGCCTGGGATAGACAAGCACTTTACTATATGAGCCAGGAAGAATGGGAAATTGCCGCAACCACTGCAACAGCTGCAGCATTTTGGTGCTTCTGGTTTTCCTTCCTCCTGAGATTTTTTCAGCTCTGCCAAGACCTCTCTCAACAGGTCCTCACTTCAGCCGTAGGGAACAACTCAGAAATTCCCAGGACTCCTACTGCCTTGTGATCTAAGTCCAGCTGTATGTGCTTTATTTAAGCACTCCTCGGCACATCTCTTTCCAGTGTTGTTTAACTACTGCTGAAATTACTGGTTAGAACCGTCTACTGAAACTGCTCAGCCACATAAACTGACAAGTGGGTTGATTTCTCTGCCAGGCAGGCAGGATGATGAACATCAGAATATTAATCAATTACTGAGCACAGCATTCAGCATCAGCTAATTACAGGGGATTAAATTTAGATGAATTAATTTGGGAACCGGAGAAACAGACATTTCCCACGATTTTTAGGAGGGCTTAACAGGAATTGAGTTTTGTAGCAGGAGCTCAAGGTATTCAGGCTTAAGAAAAAGCTTTGTCTGATCTACTGATTTTAGCTATGGGCTAGAGCAGCAGACCTGGAACACTTTAGCCTGATAAAGACATTCACTGCTTGGGCTAGATAAGGGTATGCATTTAAAGCTCTATTCAGTCTTTGGCTGCACAGTCTTCCCTATCTAGCTGCTGTACTCATCACTTGATTAGTACTGATGTCTATATTGTGCATTCCTAAAAAGTGCTGTTCTGATAAAGCTGAAGATACTCTTTCAATGCTACTTTGATTTCACAAACAGCACTTCCCCCTCCCAATTCCTAGCCCCTACTTTGATTTCACAGCTCCAGATTTTGTGTCCCAGTTGTAGAGAATTAGCAAAACTAAATACAGACACCAGAAGTAGTAATATGACTTTTTGGGATTATGGAATGTATTCAGAAAGTGTCTCAAATGAAAAGGTTAACCTTAAACTACTTAAAAGTATAGATTCATTATTCATTTTGAATAGATTACAGCAGAGTATGTCAAAGAGTGTTTAATTAGTGCAGGGGCCAAGTCTAACTTGCACTGGGATGGAGGACACGTACCACGCAAGCTCAGACCCACACTTATGGAACAGATTTGTGTGAGGCCAGATCACTTCTAAGAAACTCAGCTGAAAGTGGGTAGCATGTTTCTTGCACTTTTTGGACACCTCCAAAAAGTGCAAGAAACATTTTCATAAGCCTATTACACATTCGAGTTATACAGCTTCCCATCTTTAGAGCTATTCCTTGATTTTTAAATCCACTCACTGTTGTAGCCACTGCAGCTGCTAGTCTCTGCCGGCGTCGTGTTGTGCTGAACTGCCCCTTCGGTGCTGGCCCTTCCTGACAGTGAATGCAAGAGAGGAAGTAGAAACAGAGAAGGGAAGGGGTGATGGGACACAGGAAGATGAAAGGTGATCAGAAAAGGGAGAGGGAGAATCTTTAAGTGGCTTTCAATTTTGTTAACTCTTATGGCCTACACATTCTGAGGACATATTACATGTTTTCAGTTGTGTATGCCAAAGACACAAAAAAAGCTAGATACTTCACTAGAATTATCTCCAGATGAGTTGGACTGCAGTGCACTCACTAAGACTACAAAAAAAAAAAAACCCACAACCAAAACTATTAGCATTGCCATTCAGAGTTATAAGGCAATATGGAATAAGAAAACAAAAAGGATGCTATGGCAAGGCAAAAAACACAAAAAACAAACTCCTTCTGTGGGGGTCACTTGACCATGTAGAAGATGAATTCTGAAAGAGATCACTTTGCATTAGTGGAAGTGAATGAACTGTGTTCATTCAAGATGCATGCATCTCAATGGTAAAACTTTTCAATGTGTTATAGTGAGCTTGCTTATGTATTCTTGTGCACAGCTGTAGCATTTCCATGTCCATCCTTGAGCCTATTTGTTCCTTTTCTCCACACACCACTTTTTTGAGTTCCAACTACTTTTCCTGTACATTGTTGAAGTCTTGACTTCCAAAGCGATGCAAAAACTCAAATAAAGCACCACAAATGAAAACTAAGCATTTCAACAACTGCTTCCTTCTCTGCATGCCTAACTTGTTGCCACATCCTGCTCAATTTTACTTTTATACTTTTGTACTTTTAAGAAAATTCACCATGGTACGGTCAAGTCAAGCAAGTAATTGCCTAATACAGAGGAGCTCCATACTTATCAAAGTCCCCCTATTTAATGTCTAATCAAAATGTCATTATTTTGAAGCCATTTTAAGATTTTAGCAGACCAGAAAAGCCACCTTTCTGCTTTAGAAAACAAGTTTCAATACCTTTGAATTTTATTTATTTTAATTCCCCTATATCTTCACCTTTAGCCACTTCAGTATTTTTTAATCCATACATATTTTTACTTTTTTCTGAAAGCAGCCTGGGCACCATATAAATAACAATGGTATAGACTGGATACAGGACATCATGCTGAAGAACAGGATACTGTAGTCCAATTGTTAGCTGAAGTGTCTTGCTCCTGTAACATTCCCACTGGTAAGGTTGCTGCATCTGAGAGTGGCCATACCCTTCATTCTCTGGCTAATATTAGTGCCAGTGCTACTGAAAATGGAAAAGCTGTCTAATGATCATGGTGAGAGAAGCCTTGCTTTGTCCTATATCATAAAATTCTTGCATTAAAAACATGTAAATAATCTCAAAAATATGGAAAACAAACATTGTTAAAGCAGAGAACACACCACATGCACAATGTAAACTGTGCTCTACAGATGTCTGTCTATCCTGTGAGTAAGTAAGTCTGGAAAAATATTCTTAACTAAAAGGGACATATATAAGAGAGAGACATGTACAAATATATATTATATATATACATGCAAGATCATGAATGTTGGTATACATTATTAAAATGGGAACAATGAGCTCTGCAGAACCCACACTCACTTCAACACAATAGAAAGTAAGGTCATAATCTGAGTTACAATATAATGACATTTATTTAAGGGAAAAGGTAATAAGCCAGTCTTTGGGTCTGGTTTCATTTCTGAGCTGAAAGCCTCAGTAGAGCAAGATGACTTTTCAGGTTGTTCTATATTATGTAGTTCTCCAAAAAATTACTCTCCAAAGAAATAAAATAAATGTAAGAAAAAAATAAAAAGTCTCATAACTTCACAATTCTGAGCTTTTGAAGGAAATCAAATCAATATTGGTTTGTTTTACTGCTTTTCAGTAATATATTTTCTTCTTTTAAAGACCTTTAGATGGTCATGAGAATGACAAATCAGTCTTTTACCCAAAGAGGCGTAAAAAAAAAAAAAATCCAAACCCAACATTTTGTGCAAAAGCATTATTTGTAAAATGAGTGAATACAGGTCAACTAACCTGATGTTGCAGGCCATTTTCATAAGACTTTAAATAGGCCTTTTAAAACCAAAATATACCTCCTTCATAAAAGCAATCTTTCTTCAGAGAAATAGTTCATGTATCACTCTTGAGTAAAGGACTGTAAATTAAGCTGTAATTCTAGAAAACTTAGCAATACTCAACCCACAAACTTGCAACGTATATACATATGCTAAGCTCAATTTTACTTTAGGGTGCAACCCCACTTTAGTCACTGTGTGAGCAACTTTAACTGCATACAGAACTGGTATACCTAATTGGCAAGTATATATTTCTAGGAAACAAAGCAAGCAGCTTTTCTTACAAGAAAACCTATTTCAAACACATTATACACCTAGCATTCATATTCAAGAATGTATGAGCAGGAACAAAAAACTGGTAATAAGTACAATACAATATCTGGATGGGAGAATTCTCTCCTTGCGTCTTGTGCAGTGCATGCTGAGCTAGCAAAAAGTACATCCTCATTCCCCATTACTCATGAACAAGATAGTATATATAGAGCTTCCTAATTTTTATGTTCCCCAGAAGGATGGCTTTCAATATCATACTTTCAGAGGCTCTTTGGATGGTAGCTGATGACTGCTCATTCTAAAATAAATAGGTGCAAGTACTTCAAATGGAACTAATAGTGTGACTAGCTTAAAGTTATTATGTTAGTATTAGTATTATCCCCTAAAACTAATGAGATGTATGGAGATATGGGGAAAGACAAAGGAAGAAGTTTTCTTAGTATAAAATATCAACCACTTAGCAAACCATGTGTAGGAACCATGAAAAAGCTATCACAAATTACACAAAGTGATTTTCAGTAGAGGATACCCCAATAAACAATTTATAAAGAACTGGAATAGCCTTGAAAAGATGACCTATAAGAAAGGCCAATGAAGCTAAGAAGGAATGGCTAACTGAAGAACAAAATGGGACTGTAAGCTTAAAAAGCACTTAGGCATCAGGGGAAATGCACATTTTTGTGGAATGGCAACATGAGCAAATTAGGAATAACACAATGAGTTAGAGTGAGGCCATCTTCCACAAATCACAGCTTTACACCATTCATGAGACAGGACAGCTCTTGGAAGAATAAAAAAGATGTTGATCCAATCAAACTAGCCAAGATAATGGAGCACCCAAAAAGGAATCTTTGATGTAATTTAGAATAATTTTATTGTTTCTCTTTCACTGCAAATGAATGCATAAACCAGTCATCAATTACTTAATGCTTTACTCTAACAAAATAAGCTTTATATTTTCTGCATTAGGCTTGCCAGTAGTTAATGCTGACTCAGATTAGGCAGAGTTCATTATTGACCCTGAAGTCACAGACCCATGTAGAGCAGTGCTATGCACACAAACTCTCTCAGGGTAACCTGCAAACCAACCATATTCGAGGATTTCAGGAGCTGAAGCACAACTCCTGCCAAGCCACAAACAGCAGTTTGAGACTTGTTGCCAAAATGATGGAAGCCCAGACCAGTGTGACTTTGACAAAGTGCAGGCAACACAGGAACACCTTGCAATTCCTCATGAGCCACCCTAGATCATCATACATTGACTGCTTTCATCATTTGTTTTTTCATCATTTTCATGGAGAGGGATTTGTCTGAGACCACTATGGCATGAAAGAACAAAATCCAGTATTGACTCTGTCTCTTCATAGGCACCAAGTACTTGCATCCATTTTCCTGATATTTTTATCTCTTCATAGGCACCAAGTACTTGCATCCATTTTCCTGATATTTTTATTTGCCTATGTTATTCAGCAGCAGTGAAACGCAGTGATCCTTCAAATGCAGGTAATAGGACATGACATCAATCACCAAAATTCCTTTGTTAATAAATGTTTTTATTCCTAATAGATGCTTCATTGTTCAACCTATTGTGATTTATCTAGTATAACGGGTAGAAAGAAAAAATACCCACAGCTCCTATGAGAAAGCTGATGCAACTACAATTTCTTCTTAAGATTATTAATCTTAAATGAGTCACAGAAAACTCCTTATTGTGCCTCTAGGGGACATATTAAAGGCTTTCAAAGTTTATGTGAATGCCAAGGAATTTAAATGGATCAAAAGTTGCTGACATTTATTCATTCTGTAGCAGACAGCACAGTGGTGATTGTTAGCTCCTGAAGTCAGTTGAACAGTCTTCATTATCAGTTGCTTAATTATAAAAAAGATTATATTTTGGATTAGGCCCCAAAACACACAACTGCTTCTGAAAAAACAGTAAGACCCCCTGGATCTAGCAGTGACACAAGCCTATCAGGCTTATTTCTGTGCTTTTACTTTTCAGCTCTTAGGCATAATAGAATAAATTCTTTCTTCATGTAATTTATTCTCTTTTTATTCAGTTTGTTCCCATACTAGCCTTTTCCGTAAGAGAAGCCTTGTGAAAATACTTCTCATTGGTAACATTCCTAGTATAGATCTTTACAAAGGCAACTGACGTGTTTAGTATTTCATTCATGTGCTCTCCTTTTAGCTTCATGTCACCTGTTCAGTTACCCTCCTTGGAAGTTTGAGGTAGAACAGCAGTACCCCGGTGTGCTGCACGCATATTGCCTTTTTAGCACTTTAATTGACTTGTACTCAGATCCCACTCCTTTCCCTAGATGGCAATGTTTTCATATGAATGAACGGAAAATCAATACTTTCCTAATTATCTTCTCTAGGTTTTAAACAACAAACTGATATTTAATTTATTTCATCAGGAACATAAAAGACAGTACCTTGACCTCCTACTTTCAGCTAATATAAAACTTCATGCTTAGAAGTTAATCTGAAAGTACAATGAAAAGTAAAACATTGTGCATTCAGTACCTGAAGTTGAATTTTTGCCTCTTTGCTGACACTTTTTGTTCTCCATCGTCTCGTGACCCGCTTGTCTTTCTTTGAAATATCTACACAGTTAGCCTACATTACACAAATAGTTAGAAGCGACAAAGTACTATTAAGTTAACACAAGAAACACAGACAGTACAGCAAGTTAGTAAAGAAATGTAGCATTAGACATCTACAAATTAGAAAGTAAGAAAAAGAAAGCCACTGCCAGGACCCACAACCTCAGCAGTGACCAGCTGTAGCTCCACATACACTTCTATGAATACATGGTATATTTATCTCATTTAGCAAAACTACTAATGTACCTTCCTCATGAGTGCACAATATTTAGGACCATGTCTTGAAATCCTCATGGATTTCTATTCTGTTACTACTCAGAGAAATGTAGAGTTCACTTCTTCCTGAAATCAGTGGTAAGTCTTGTGGTTACTTCATTGAAACTAAACTTCCCAACGCACCAACACCACTGGCAGATTTGTGTACTCAAGAGGACTGAGTGAAAAAGGAAAAAAAGTATTTAGGATTTAGGACCTGCTATTGCTTTCTTGTGGCCAAGAGGAAAACTCACCCTGAACTTGAATGGTGCAAACCTTGGGACCTTTGTACTATTTTCTAGACCATGCAACTGAGAGTCTTTGGGTCTCCACTCCTTAAAAACTTAAAATATCTTACTCAGCACAATAAAAATTCCTTAAATATCATTTCAGTGTATACATGTACTTCTATTGTTAACAGTTCTTAGCTTTGCTCTGCAGATGACTTAATAATTTGATTCTTCCTATTTAACTCAGTTAAGTTGTAATTTTTTGTTTACACATGAAACATTGTTATACATGATTAAGGTACAAATGTAAGGTAAACCTTTCATCCAGGAGTTACTAGAATTTTGGAAAATCTTTCTGAATTAACATACAACATGTTTAAGTTTTCTTTAACATAAAGAACAAATGTTTCAGTGTGATGATTTATGTTCAAGCATACTTACCTGCATGTCTGTGAAATTAGGTGCTGACTGAGTTCTCTGTAATATTTCTAAATTTTGAAGAAGTTTACTGAGTTCCACAAGGTTTGATTGACAATGAGCAAGATCTAAATAGGTATAATACAAAAATAAATTAGGTGCTTCAGTTGCACTTTTTTATGTTTTGTCATAATGTCCATCATTGGCACCTTATTTCATTATAAAACTTAAACATCCAAATCCCTAGTAGTAAGGCATCTAAGTAAAAGTTTTATTTATTATTTACAAAAAATGTTGAGCACTTGTTATTTTTATGGGAATCAGCAACAAGGGTGGACCTGAAAAGCTGATCATATTTTAACAATGATATCCATTAAGATAATACAGATTAAGATAAATTTTAAAAGCAATATCCTAAAACTTGCAAAGAGGGAAGTTCCCACCACAACTATCTGAATTACCTGAAATAATTGCCATAATTACCTGAAAAGCTATTTCATGTGCATGTAAAGATGCCATTTAACCACTTTTTACTCACTGTTTCTTATTTTATATCAACAGTAAGTTTTGACGAAAGAACAAGGGATGAAAAGATAAAGACTAACCTTCTGCACATCTGTCCATCTCTTCAGAATCCTGCAACCAGGCCGCTACTTTACTCTGACCAGTAGTGCAGGTAGCAGGAAGGCTGTTACTGCAAGGTATAGGAGACTGCCAGGGGAGGCTATTTTGCTGCACCTAAGGCATAATAAAATGCTTAAATTTACTGTTGCTATATTGTTCAGTCAGTGTTATGACCACCTACTTCAGAATAAGAAAACAAAATATGCATTGTGATTTCAGCAACATCTGTGATGGGACTATATCATTCCTCAAGATGCAAATTTTTCTGAACAGCATGCTGGAGAACTAAACCAAGAACTTCATCAGCAAACCGTGTTTGCTAACCACCAGCTAGAAAAGCTGTTGTTTAAGATGAAGAACATTATCAAACAGTAAAGAAGCAAATTTATCCCTGATAGACAAAGGCAAGTGCAACTGTTGTTGGGATGGCAAATTCTTTGCAAGATCATGCAGCCCATTAATGAAGGCTAAACCATATCATTTTTCAGCTGCCCACACAGATTTTCACTGGCCATTGGTTCCCACAGCAGAAACTCCTCACTATTGGCATTACAAGCAGAGCCCCCTTAAATTGTCCATGAGCAAGGTCAGTAGGCATGAGCTTTCAACAAAAGAGCATTATATACCTTTCCATCTGACACATTAGCAGCCGGTGATGACTCTGTTGTAGAGGCTGAAGGGAATATATGAAAGCTAGCATCTCTTGGAGATCTCACAATCTCATTCTGACGGTACAACCGGTGGTGGCGTAATTTTGAAACCCATGCATCAAACGAATCCTGTGACTTCACCTGGAAATAGAATCACTATTAAGAAAGCATTCAAAATACTACTTTTCTATACATACTTTCCAGCTTTATTTTTTTCCGCAGTGCATGCAAAGACAGTAAGTATTTTCACCACTTTTTACCTTCAGATGATAGATGTGTTCTTCTGTGTCAAGATCTATTCTACGAGCCTTCTTCTTTATAGACATAACTGATAAACCAACATCAATGCTCCCATGGACTTTGCCTTTCTGTATCTAAAACCAAAAAGCAATGTAAGAAATTGGTAGTATTATGCACTTCTTCACTATATTTAACAGAAAAATATCTGCTGCTGAAATGTTGTCCCGTTTTAGGAACATTTTAAGGTAAAACCATATTAAAAAATAAAACCTGTAGTCAGAGTAACTAACCACTTACTGTATTTATAGACAAAGTACCTCACAAGAAGTGCTCAGTGCAGAGCCAATTCCAAAGTTAAAGTGTGTTGGTTCACACCAGTACATGGCTACAGGTAGGTGAGAAGCAGAGAAAATTAGACAGTACTAAGCTCCCTGCTGCTACCATTTGATATTGGTATCCAATTTAACTAATTTAATGTTATCCTTTCATATCTTTTGAGTACATTGCAAGCAATTCTCTGCCTTATCCATATATCATAATAATCAGCTCTGACTGACATAAAAATTGAAAAAGAAAAATGAATTATCAGGCTGATCTCACAAGAACTTTCATTAAATAAACTAAGTAAATTAGTATTATTTTCATATAAGTAAGAAATGGTAGAATTCTTGAGGACAGAACACAATCAAAACCTTACATGCTTTCCATATACAGATCTCTTTGAATCCATCAACAACTTTCATGAGTGCCCTGTCATAAATATGCCTAGAGTGAGTATGAGATTTAATCACTCAGGCATGCAGAATTCCAGTACAAATGTAAAAATGGTCTTCAATTCTACTTACATCAATTGGTGACTTTGAATATTTCAACATTCCATTATCCAGGACAAAAAACCTCTGAAAGAAAAAAAAAAACCACTCAAATTATTTCTTAATGAGCAGATGCAATATAAACTGTGTACAAAAATTCATCTGCAAAATAGAAATATTACTCTGTAGCAATTAAGGAATGTTTTGGGGTTGGAAAGGGAGGATAAATACAGGAGGACTGGGAAAGGGAAAGGGAAGATAAATATTATTGAATAATTTTCTTGCTTTTTTTGACAACAATTATCTTCTAAGCAAGAAAAACTAGATTCTCTTTTTACAACATTATGTTCTAGGTTTAACTTAACAAACCTTGATAATGAAGGGTATTTTTTTCCTGTTTTCCAGCCAATTCAATAAAACCCTTAAGAAAAACACTGTAGGCTAATTAATAGAAACTGATTCATTTTTTTACAGTTTAACCTAAAGCACTAACCTATGCTAAGATCTAGAACACAGCAAGTCATTATCCTAGATTCTCTAAGCTGTCTGACATGGAAGGAAGGAAAATGCTTTGATAATGTGAACTTGTTCAACCAACACTATGACCAGGGTCAGCAGTTAGATGGGAAAATATCCCCTGAAGATGGTTCTGGAAATTATGTCAGTCGCACAACAGATGGTACCAATATCTCATGCAGGGCAAGAAAACAGTGCTTTCCTGGAGCTTCTTGAGTAAGATGTCAAAACAATGGGAGGGATTTTGGTTCAGGTTTTGTTTTTTTTTAAGTAGGTATGGTTATGAATGGACTTCATAATGACATGATAATCATTTTATATTGCTCTGCTTCTCTTAAGTTACACACACACACACAAAATGACCTTTCCTCACATTTTGTTCCAAAGCTATGCTGCTAAAGCACATACAGAACTGCCAGAATATAACACACAATGTTCGATAGACAAAGAATACTATGGCTTTGCTAGCAGAACCCTAACACAACACATGCTATGATTACTGTCTCTGGAACTCCTCACTGGCCTCACAGCATGAAGTATTGTTAAGGAAGCTGCAGGATACTGAGGCAGCAATTTAAAAATAATAATAATTAAAAAATCTTATTAACCAATCTTCTTCCATAGATCCTTAGGTGAAATGTGAAGCAGAGTAGAGCAGGATGCCAAACTATGAAGCTCTTAATCACATTAAAAATTATTTACACTGGTTAACTGAAAAGCCTGCACGGAAAACAGATCAGCAGTAACGATCTCCTTCATAGAACTATTAAAACTGGACACTCCTTGCTCTCCTATAAAGTTCCTTACCAAAAAAGACACTTATCCAAGAAACAACCTATCAACAGGGTAGTGTGACACTGCAACAAGTTGACCAGGGAAGCTGTTGCTGCTCCATCCCTGGAAATGTTCAAGGCCAGGTTGGATGGTCTACTGGTAGGTATCCCTGCCCATGGCAGGGGAGGTGGAACTAGATCATCTTTAAGGTCCCTTCCAACCCAAACCATTCCATGATGTTACGAACATAATGCATTCTAAAGGCGTGGAAGCAGCAGGTTATTCCATATATTATTATACATGTGATCAATTGTTTGGGGGGGTTTGGGGGTGGGGATGGTTTGTTAGGGTTTTGTTTGTTTGGAGGGGGTTTGGTGCGTGTGTTTATGAGTTTGGTTTTGTGGGGATATTTTTGTTTTGTTTTGGAGCATTTTGGTGCATTTGGAGCATTTTTTTTTTATTTTGTTGCGGGGGTGTTTGGTCGGTTAGTTGGTTTTTTTTTTAAGAGGCTCTCCTTTTCTGTTCTTTCAGTGTTCCAGGTATGTCAGTTTGATGTCTTTTAATCCCCACAAGCTAAATTCAACTACTGGGTATGTTTGGTTGCTGAAACTACAAACTTTATTTAAACGAAGGAAAACAAAAAAAAAAAATCTAAGGTAGATAGGTAGGCAAGCATGCACAAAAATGGTGGCAGGCATATGTGTAAATTAGCATTACATTCACAGAGGAATTAGAAGTGTAATTCATATGAGTCTGGACTGTATGGACCTGAGTAAATCCTACTGTGTTTAGCAAAAAAACGAAGTTAATGCTTTCCCAGGAAAAAAAAAACAACATGTAAAACAAATGGTTCCACTATCCTTTGCAGTAAAATGCATTCTGTGCTAGGCGATTTTCCTGCTTCGATTACCCTCAGCTACAAAAAGATGGGTGAGCGCCAATACCGCACATCTTGTTGCTAAGTAAAAAAAAAGGAGGGAAAATGTAATTATTATGGTATAAAATAGTCAAAGGGGTTTAATAACACTACGTTTAGGGCTAACAAGAGGTCAACTTATGCATGGGGAAATGTCTCCAAATTAAGTAAACATAAACAGGAAATTTGGGTTTGAGTTTCTGGGTGTTTCATTTTGTTTTTTTAAATTGAGACATCTAATGGCAAACTGCATAATCCCACCGCATGCCCACGGAGAAGACTGCCATCAAGAAGACAAACAAACTTCAGGGAGAAAGCTGAGCAAACCTTCCCAGTCATTATGCCTAAAGAGGAATGAATGTCTCCCATACGAACACCTTGGGTCCATGCAAAAGCCCCTTAGCTCTCCTCTCATGAAGTCCTGTGTACTTTAATGTAAACTCAATGCAATCTTACAGTACGCAGCTACATTTTGTTATAAAGTATTGGAAAGAACAAAATGGATATTGATTAAGCCTCTCAAATCAGAAGGCATCTTCTGCATTATTTACAACTTCTGTCTGGATTTTGAATATAGCACTAGGCAGCAGGCACTGCAATTTGGAAGCCATAAGCAAACTAATTCTTTACACAGTTTAAAGAAAAGGTCACACATCAAAACCCTGGGCATTTATTTGACATGCTAATTTCCTCTAGACAAAAGATCCCAACTCATAAAGTAAGGTAATAAGCTTTTGACTTTTCTATGAGACATTTACCTTGTGCCAACCTTTTAGAGGCCATTTTCTCTTTTTCAGCATGAAACCTTCATGTTTGTCTGGCTTCTGGACATTGGTCTGACCTATTTTCAGACCCTCAATGATTTCCCAGCTGTCAGGTTCCTGGTGAAAAAGTATGAAGACATATTGGTTAATTAGCTGTGCACACAGAGATGAAAAATTGCATTCACATTTAGCACAAGTTCTCCAGAGCAAGACAAAGAGTAAAGGAGAGCTAGACTTTGAAATCAGCCTATGTAGGTATCAAAATACGTGGCCACTGTATTATGCCCAGCTGTATTTCATTTAAGGTTACTTAATACAACATTTTTGGAAGTTTAACCCTTACCAGGTAACTAAGAAGAAGTTGAAGCTTTTAAAAAGGTCTTACACTGTAACTGAACAACAATCTGAGTGTGGGTCTGAATATGTGTTTACAACAAGGACTGCATCCCAATTAAATAGATACATCCAAATACATGAAAACAGGACCAAATTGTGGCTAAGCTAAATATAAGAAAGATCAGACCTACTACTGGAGGTAACAGTGTGAAAGTGAGGGTGGCTCTGACCAGCTGTTAAGTCTACCTAGAAGGCACCCCACAAATTAGTACTGCACTGTAAGAACGAAAGAGATTGAACAGATTTGCAAGTGGAGTATGGGCAAAATCTAAATATTAAAAATGTACCTTTAGTCAGAGTATTTCTTCTCTTACAAAAAGATGCGATCAGGAAATAGAATGAAGACAAAAGCATACTGTTAAATATATAGATACATATCAACAGTGTGCTTTGTGCTATTCCCTGATCATATCAAATTGTAAATTTTCTAATATTTAAAGTACAAGCTACATTGACTCTGGATACTCTATTTTTCCCTTAAAAACAGAAAAACAAGCAGAAGAGGTTGATTTGTTGTTCGTTTTGAATGTAGCCAGGTCTTGTCTTCAAAAGCATTTTATGACAAAGCTTCACAGGCTAATTGCCCATTTAGAAATCTGCAAAAGGATTTTTTTTTTTTTTTCCCTGGATTCATTTCACTGTATTAAGAGAAATTTACAGGAAAGCTAACTAATTTTCTCTCTAGAGAAAAGAATAGGAACTGTATCATTTCAGACACATCCAGCTGTATGCCTTTCAGGGAGCCAATTAAAGCATACTTCTTGTACATGCCACTTCTTATGCATGATGACTTGTACAACTCAAACTAGACTTATACCATAGTGAACAGCTAAAGAACAGTATTTTTAAAGAGAAAAAGTCATGACCTTATTTATATCCTTTTGCTACTATTGTAATTAAAAAAATTCTGTACCAACTTAAAAATATCCTACTGCCTGCTCTCTAAGACTCTATTTTACTAATTGTATCCTACCAAATTGTAAACTTGCATTTTCTAGATGGTCTGTCACAACTCCCAGCGATGCTATGAAATGTTACCAGCAATGCTATGAAATGTTACCATGAAAGGAAGTTCATACAGAATCAAACATTTAAAGGGAACAAAAAAATTGTCTCCTACATTTCCCACAGAACTGTTCAAAGCCTTTTAAAAGGCTGTTCAAAACTGTCAGTCTTTCATAACCCCTTCAGTTACACAGCCCTACAATTTTGTTATTTTGAGAAGGGTGAAAAGCCCTATCCCAAATAATACATACTGCAGTCGATTTTAATAGAAATATTTATTTAGTTTCACTTTCCCTGCATATTATAAACTGGAACTGTCACAGTGCCTTTAAATGCCATGCTCAAAAAAAAACGTGTTTTGCTTGGATGTTCTATTTCAACTACTATAGAAGGAAGCATATATGTATTATTTTTTCCCTACAAAGAAGCACTTGACACTTGAGGGGTGCAAATTAAACTATGAGTCCCCTGGGGTGAGCAGAGAATCTCTCTCTGCAACTCTGCCAACTGATTCTTCAGCATATTGATTTCTCCTTTAGAAGATCAGCTGCAGGCATAAGTCTTTTATCTATGAGATAACACCGGTATTGATTACTTCTCAACTAGAAATCACAGTCTCACATAGCTATTCATTTAAACAAAAGGACAGATACAGAGGGACAAAATGAGCAATTATTCAGTGCAATGTGGATACCTGTCTCCTGCTGCACCAGTGCTACAAGCTGTTCTTTAAAGCACCCTAACAATACCTGACTCTGCCTCATCCCACAGGTTTACTGTGATGAGATATGCCCAATACAAAAGACATTATGCAAGAACAGCCAGAAATGGGAGAAAAACAGAGTGAAAGTGGTATGGTTGAGGAGACCTCATCCAATGCTGATTCTCAAGTACAATATCAGTAATTTAGGGCTTCTGCGATTCCCTACGTCTTACATGAGAAACAGCTCTGTGCAAAGCAGCGGGGCCAGGGGAACCTAAGCACAACATGGATCTGCATATAACCCAGCTTTTGGGAGTAAGGGAGCCCCTACCAACAGGTTTCTGAACCTCGTCTTTTTGACTGCAAAGTATTTCTTTTCCAAATAAAACAGAACAAACCATTTCATTTTCCCTGGATGAACAGAATGTTTCCTTCTGAATTTGTTTACCAGTTCTGTTTCAGAGACTACAGACATTTAATTTCAGATTTTTCTTTTCCATCAAATTTTCCATCACAGCATCCTTGCCTTTTCAGCAACAATCTTTCATAAGAAGTATCTTAAAATGAAGCCTTCTTTATATGATATTAGACTTATTTAGAATCAGTTATTCTAAAAACTGACAAATTCATCCTGGAAGAAACTGACTGCAAAGCACCATACACAAGGCTGCAACTTTCAGGAGTTCTTGGGTTTACCCCTTGTCCTGGGTTCAGCAGTAGCAGTCATTTTTCCCCTTCTTGGTAGTTGGTGCAGTGCAGTGTTTTGACTTTCAGCTCGGGAACAGAGCTGATAACAAGCGATGTTTTGGTTTGGCCAAGGACTTTGTGAGCCTCATGCTCTGCCAGGGAGGAGGGGAAGCCAGGAGGAAGCAGAGACAGGACACCTGACCCAAACTGACCAAAGAGGTATTCCATACCACAGCACGTCATGCCCAGGATGTAACTGGGAGTTAGCCGGAAGGGCTGGGAGACGGCAGGGTTGGAGGAGGTATCGGTCAGAGCTTGGTCGGGCTTGGGGGGCGAGTTATCGGTCGGCTGGTGGTGAGATGATGTATTCTCTTCCCTTGTTATTTCCTTTATCATCGTTATCATTGGTGGTAGCAGTAGTGATTTGTGTTATACCTTAGTTACTAAACTGTTCTTATCTCAACCCGTGGGAGTTGCATTCTTTTCGATTCTCCTCTACGTCCCTCCGGGAGCAGGGGGAGGGCAAGAAAGGGGGGGAAGTGAGTGAACGAGTTACCTGACTGGGTTTAAACCACGACACCCCTACAGTTCTATCTGTTTCCCTTCCTCAGGAAAGAAGTCTCAGCAAGAGATTTTAAATTTCAAACTTTAAGAAACTACCCAAAAGGAATGTCATTAAGACATATTTTTAAAATTAGTAGCATTATTGCTTAGCAGCACTTTGGGGCTTGGGTATGGTTTGGTCTACCTTAGTAAGAGGATTAGACTGGATCATTTCTCAAAGTCCCTATTAGCCCCATACTCTGAAACTGTAACTTGTCCCTGGGGGCCAGCCATGGGCAAAAAGCCCTAGACCATCACCACCATCAAAATCCTTAATTTTGTTAATTTAATATCTACTAAAGATTGCTGACACCTCTGACACTTCAGCTGGGGAACAGGAAGCTGCAGGACAGGCTCACAACATACTTAATGGTAGAATCATACAAAAAAGCTGTTAGTCAAAGTACAGAGGAAAACTCACCACCTAAACTACTACCCATTTATTTGCTTACCTTGGATAGAGAGATAGGGTCACTTTCAAGGAACTGCTTGCTTAAAGAAGGGTCTGTGCTTCCTGAAGAAGCTTTCCGCTCCAAAATATGAATGCTCTATAAATAAATAGATAGATAGATAAATACTTAAATAAATGACATGGGGTAATTAAAGATGATAACTTATCATTCAGCATTACCTTTCAAAATACGTATTAATAATGACCAATTATTACACTCCTTATATAAAATATCAGCATCATGGCTCAAAACATACCAAGCACTAGCCATCCACAACATAACTGCACAGTTTGTCTTCTGAGGCAACAAACCGCTCAGACCTTCCTCTCTTTCTTTTCTTATTACTGATTTTTAAACTAATTACTTTGTTCAGCCCAGAAATGACTGAGAACTAAAAAACAAAAAAAAAAAAAAGGAAAGAAAAGTAATGCAGTTTTTACAATCAAACTGCTCATAGCCAGACCTGTTACATTTTCTGCTAAGATAGCAGACACTGAATACACATACCGTGCAGTCAGTACTTCTGAAGCAAACCACTGTACATATGATATTACTACCTCTAACATATTCATTATCACACCTTAGAATTTTGTTTCTGGCTTCTCAACTGAGATGAAGTAACTCATTACATGAGTGTGTTTTAATAGATGAAAGTTGTTCACAGTATCAGTTACAGGGTCTCAGCTGATGGGCTTGCTAGGAAGCATTCATGGAACACAGTAATCTCAAACCAGCATAGCTGGGTTTACATATGACAAAACCATAAAATTTTGTATCTTCAGCGCATGGTACAAAAGTGAAATACATGATGTCACAACTAGTTCTGAAAAAAAATGCTATTCTTGAAAGATACCTAAAAATGTCTCCCCATTTCCTGAAATGTTTCACTCATATTTTGCAAAAGAATAAGCATTTCTTGCTACAGGAGAAAATAACCACATTTTGCCTGCTTGGATCCGCATTTTGTTCTCTGGTGAAATTTTGCTACATTTCATATTACTATTTGGTAAGAATTCTACTACAACATATTATTAGTATCTCTTTAGCATGAAATAGAACTATTTCATTTCCGGAACATTTAGCACAATGTCAAACTTGCAATTGAAATTATCCTCTGAGAAGGGTAACATTTCGCAATTGAAAACAACAAATTTTGTTCACCATATAGCTTCTTTACATTCGTTGCAAAAGAGATTACACAGGTACAAGTGACAGCAGAAACAATATGGGAATAGAAAAATACATGCTAACAGCAGAGTAAATATTGTTGTTTATACAGATAACTTAAGTACAGAAGGATCATAAACAAAACGATGAAAATAAACACAGCTATTCATATAAATGTGTATATAACACAGACCACATCTTGCTGCAGAACAACACAGAGGCCTTCATCGTTCTTTCTCAGTTTGCAACTGTGAATGAGATCAGAAAAACAGGGGTATTTCTTTGTTGTCGGTGGAGATTAATAAGCATCCTTGCCACTATGCAACAATAATCAGTATTTATTTTCAGTTTTAATTTAATTTTACAGTGACGGATGTAGAAAAGCAGCAGTATTACCTGCCACAGTCCTCAGGGCCAACCAGAAAAGCTTTGTCACCTGTGCTTTGAAATCTTCTGTTTTATCAAAGAAAGACCAGTCTTATAACTTAGCCCAATGTCTATAAATAGTCACCTGAGAAAAACATTTGTATTTATGTAACACAAGTTCCTATAGTACATGTCAAATAATTTTATATGCTTGCTTCAACTGAGCTCACTAATAATGAACTAAGATAAGGTTTTCTCACTGAATAGATGACATGCTATTTATGTACACAGTATCACGTTTAAACAATATACAAGAAAACCTAAATCTGATCCTTCAAGGAAGATTGAAATGCTGCTTCATTAGCATAATCAGGGCGATTCCCAACTTTCTTGCCAGTTTTGTCTGGCAGGCAGGAATCCCTCCATCTTGAGATGGAGCAATGCCCAACACAGATGTTCTGAAGGTCCCATATGTAGCAGCCGGTGCAGTTTGTTGTTACATAACTGCAATTTCATTTTTTACAATATTTAGAGTGGAGTAACCCAACAGCCCTTGGCTTGCCAGATTTCCAGTGACATTTTCAATCGCATGGCTTTAACACAGTGGGGTTTTGTGCTTTTTTGGGTTTGTTTTTTTTTTTAATCAGCCCTCAGCTCCACTTCAGTTGAGAAACACATTATTAGCTAACAGCACTTCAATGAATGCTGGCTTACTCAATTATTTGTTTGGAAATAAGAAAATGAACACTTTTAAAATAAAATTGCTCCTTCAAGAAGTGTTGTCTGCAAATGTCTGCTTTTCAATTCTTTTCTGACCACTACTGCACTGACAAAAAAAGGTCTTAAATTTGTGAGATCTCTAGCATAGTATAAAAAGACATTAACTGATGCAAAATGTTTTCCATTAATGCATGTTATTTTTCTATGAAATTATAGCTAGAAATCACACAATTATTAGACATTTTGAGAAGCAGCTATTTTTAATAATGCAGGAGTTTAGTTAGCATCACAGGAACAAAAATTATTTAGATCTTGAAGTTATTATTGAGGGATTTTGTTTTGTTTTAACAAGGAAAACTAGCGTTGGTAAAAGAATCAGTTAAAAAGAAGCTAATGAGAAGAAAAGGAAGAAAGAGGCAGATCAATACAGCTTCTGAGTTTTGTTTATAAATGAACAGAAAAATGAGCAATCCACTAATCTAGGCCTATCAATTAACTGGTACTCTCACTCCTCTTATCCCAAGAATACAAGCAGACAAACCAACCTCTGCATTGCTCCATTCCAGACTTCTCTAATGTCACATAGGATCACCTGTCAGTTATAGCTCGCTTGTCCTGGAGAAAAACACCAGCACCATCAAATTCTGTGTGCTCTTGGACATTAATTCAGTAAGATTACAAGTTTAACTGAAATTGCTCTGTAAATCCATTGCTAAATCTTACTCCTAATTACAATCATTCCTTCAGCTTTGAGATTATTCACAACATATATTGTGTATGTTGAGCACACATTTGCTCCAAAAATGCCCCTAACAAGCCTACACACAAGGAACACAAATGCTGCTTCTGCCCTGCATTTTGTTCAAGTTGTTTCCCAAAGACATGTGAGGGAAAAGGATGCTGACGGAGAGAATAATAATATTATGATGTTTCATACTCTTATCTTCTCTAGAGGTCAAGAATAGAAAACATATGTTATGGTATCTTTCTACATACCTTGCCAACTTTGTTTCTCAGTGACGAGTTCAATGACCCATTCACCTCATCCACCATAACAACTACTAACGCATGGAGTATCTGCTCTCCATCAGGCCAGAGGCGGAAGACCCTAACTTTTCTTAACTGAATCTGATTTCCCACTAAAAGAAGAGACATTCAACTGCTTTCAAAGGGAAGGTAAGGAAAAAAAAAGAGATATTGGGCAAGCAGAGATAAGAAATCCAGTGAAGGACAAGTCTGGCACTCATGCCTCCCCTTTCTGCTTTGCTGCTTAATTGCTTAATGGAATGAGTTATATTTAAAGCAATGAGTTCTCTCTAATTTGTAATTTATAATTTATTCATGTTCAAGAAAATGACAAAATGGTGAGGAATTTATCACTCACATAGGACACAGGCTCTAGCCCAGAAACGTGCACAACGTGCGGCTAACAATTAATGAAAAAGATTTGGTGGGTCATTTTGTTTGTTCACAGCATTTCCGCAGTCTTCAACACCCATAACTATAGGGCCTAGACATACACTGTAATTCAAAATGGAGCATTTCGCTCTGTTTTTTTTGTGGTTTGGTTTGTTGTTGTTTGTTGTTGTTTGTTTTTTTTTGGGGGGGGGTTGTCAGTCCAAAGGACAAACTGGTGCATCTTTTATTATCTGCTATTCACTGGCATTCTTTTTACATCCTAGGTACCCTTTCACAGACCTGTGCTGTTACTAGAATTCCATTTAGTATGAAGTGCAATGCTTAACTACTTCCTCTCAACTAAAAACATAGTATTCTCCAGTTATCTGAAATATAGCAGCAGTAATAAGTTAGACACAGATTTGACTGCAGACATACCAGGTTTTACCACTTCTTAAACAAAGCTGTGATATATGCTGAGTTAATATGAAATACTATTTGCAAAGGGAATAACCTTGAAACTTGCTTTTATATTAGGCTGCTTCTCAGTCAGCTCTGGTTTTCCTTCTGTCAATGTTGGAATAAAGACAGAATTTTGAGTATCGTGATAGAAAGGTGAGTACAAAGCAAAACAGCCATGTCTCCATCAGTGTATCTCTCCTTTTTTTTCTTCTAGCACTTTTTGGTTTTAATTTGCATAAAGCAACCATGGTCCTATTCTCACCCTCAGTTATCTCCTACTGACACTGCTCTATAGCTGTTTTCAACAATCTCAGCTATCAACCAACAAAGGAACTCAACCATATATTATGAATAGCACACGTAAGATTTTTTTTATTCTTGTAGCACATACTCATCTTGTACAGAAATGTGCTTAAGATTAACATCATCTCTTTGTAACCTTTTTACTGAAAGGCAAGTATATCTAAGCAGCCCCTCTGTAGCATATTAATAACAGACAGGTATATATGACTCTACTTCATTCCTGGGACATGCAAAATAAACACTTCCTGTGTTACAGAAATGTCAAGGCTCTGTTAGCTCTATGTCAGCTTTGTATTGCACGTAGCATTTCACATCAATGCTTTAGACTCAGGAAGCAAAGAAGCCTTTGCATTTCAAGATTGGGGTTTTTTGACAAACTCTGAAGAGAAATAAGCTCTTGCTCCTATGAAGAGCTTGGAGGGAAGTATTAGCATAAATTGATAAAGAAGAAAACAGCTGTCTTGTAACAGCAATCTTCTTTTTCCTGGAGCAATGGTTTGGAACAACTACCAAGTCACGGCCTAAGTCTTTAATAACGATCTTCTCCTTTCAACTTCAGATTAACACACTTATCTCAAAATAGAGCAAACAGATATATTGACGTCTGACAGAGAATTCAAATGTTTACTAATGATACAAATCTTTTTTTTATAACTACTGAATAACCATAGTTAAAAGGA